GGAGCCCTTCGCGTCCGGCAGCCCCGCCCCGCTCTTCCCCTGGTTCACCCCCGGCCCCCAGGCGGAAAGAGGGCGGAACAAGGACCGGGCCTCCGAGGAGCCGAGCAAAGACCGCGAGGCCGACAGGGCCGTGGAGAAGGACCGGAGCCGGGAGAGGGCGCGCGAGCGCGAGAAGGAGAACAAGCGCGAGTCCCGCAAGGAGAAGCGGCGGAAGGCGCCCGAGGCGCAGAGCTCGGCGCCCTACCCCCTGGGCAGGGCTTCCCGGGACAAGGGCGCGGGCGAGGACGGCGCCGCGCCCTCCGCGGCCAAAAAGGTAACGGGGCGGAAGAAGTCTTCACCACTCGATTCTGCGACCGATGTCGCTTCTGTGACTCTTGGGGATACGACAGCTGCCAAAACCAAAATACTTATGAAGAAAGGGAGAGGGAGTCTGGACAAAGCCGCCCTGGACCTTGGCGCCCCCGCCCCCGCCCTGGAGAAGGAGAAGTCGCTCTGCCTCTCCGCCCCCTCGTCCAGCGCGGTCAAACACTCCACCTCCTCCATCGGCTCCATGCTGGCCCAGGCGGACAAGCTGCCCGTGACCGACAAGAGGGTCGCCAGCCTCCTGAAAAAGGCCAAGGCCCAGCTCTGCAAGATTGAGAGGAGTAAGAGTCTTAAGCAAACTGACCAGCCCAAAACACAGGTACTCTTTTCCGTGCTGCCCGTTGAAGCCAGTCGTAGGAGCCGCTTCTAGGAGCGAGTTTTAGGCTTAGCGTTTCCGTTATGTCCAGGCACGGGAACCGGGAAGAGGGTAGAGCACATGGTGCGTTTTGCAGGGTCCCTTGAGCACAGGCAGGATTTCGATGGTGGGAGATGAGGGAGCGGCGAGGGCGGGCAGCGGGCGGGAGCTGCAGCCGCAGGCAGGCGGGCCGGCCCGAGGGCGCTCGGTTTGAACGGAATGGGTCTGGTGTATTAGAACCTCTGACTCAATTCTGAAGGTGCGTTTCTGCACTGAAGTTGCTTTACTGTTGACTATAGAAAACGGCGGGGAGGAGGGTGCTCGTCCTCTGAATAGTGAGTAGCGCGAAAGTAAACAGTAGGTGTTTGCGGAGTTCATATGAGAACCGTTTGGCCTTAAGTTGTGGGACAGAAAGCTGTAGGAAGATGAAGACAAACAGATTTTTACAAAGAACAGCCTTGTTTTTTTCCTTTTTACACAGTGAGCTAGGCACTGGTCTTTCCTGAGAAAACCTACTGATCTTTAGGCTCTTTTTAAAAAATTGTCATGTAGTTATGCCAACATCTCAAGTTAGGTTGCAGTGACCACAAACTTAGGTTTTTAATATTATTTGACCCAGGGCCATATTTTAGTAATTCTGCCAGTTGCGAGTTCAAGCAGGGACTTCCTTCTGATACCATTTTGGGTGTTTCTGGGTAGCTCCGTGTGATAGGACCAGTGGCTCTTCAAGATGTGAGAGCTTTCTGTTTGGAGTCATGGCCTTTTATACTTGATTTACAGGCTATTTCCTCCTCCCTCTCTGTTGATCAGGAAAATATAAGAAATAGTCTGTGGTTAGGCTGAACTTTTTGATAATATACTGGCAACTTGAATTTTGAGGGGAATTTTCAAGGAGTAGTAAAATTGGGGATAGGAACTTAGTTGGTTTCTGTTTTTTTCTGCCAATTTTAGGATATAGAAGTAGTTGATTCTTGTAAATTGATGTGTCTTATCAGTTGGAAATAACGAGTGATTCTAGATGATAATAAGTTAAGCGTGGTTGTTTTGTTCTGTTTTGGCTTACCTCATATTTAGGGTCAAGAAAGTGATTCATCAGAGACCTCTGTGCGAGGACCCCGGATTAAACACGTCTGCAGAAGAGCTGCTGTTGCCCTTGGCCGAAAGCGAGCTGTGTTTCCTGATGACATGCCCACCCTGAGTGCCTTACCGTGGGAAGAACGAGAGAAGATTCTGTCTTCTATGGGGAATGATGGTAGGTCACGGGTGGCAACCTGGGCCGCAGCACACATATGATTTGCTTGCTGCTCATTTTGGGGATGCCTAGTAGCCTCTTTATAGCATTATGTGTTAGTCTGGGTCCTCTCAAAACAGATGACAAGGGGGGATTAAATGAACAAGGATGTTATTTGAGGAAATGCCTGGGAGGGACAATGGGGAGGGAGCCAGGGAAGGCTGGGAGAGCTGTCAGGCTGCTCTGTAAGTCTGACTCCAATGCCGAGGGAGGGAATCTGGGCAGAACCTTCCTAGATTGCCATGCAGTGTTTTGTTTTCAGTATTTGGGTTTCTCCTCTCATTAAGCTACAAGTTTTAGGCATTTAACATTTAAATAATTAGGCTCTGAGTTCTGCACGACTATTTATTATATTCGATTTCACTTTTGGAGTCCCAGTTAAAACAAAGTTTGAATGTATGTAATAATATAAATTGATTTTGAGAATCTCCGCCTCTGCTCCCAAAAAGGATTTAGACACTCCCTCAGAACGAATGTCATGTTTCTTTAACAGACAAGTCCTCAATTGCTGGCTCAGAAGATGCTGAACCTCTCGCTCCACCCATCAAACCAATCAAACCTGTCACCAGAAACAAGGCGCCTCAGGAGCCTCCAGTGAAGAAGGGACGGCGGTCAAGGCGGTGTGGGCAGTGTCCTGGCTGCCAGGTGCCTGAGGACTGTGGTGTCTGTACTAATTGCTTAGACAAGCCCAAGTTTGGTGGCCGCAATATAAAGAAGCAGTGCTGCAAGTGAGTGGGTGTCTTAAACTCTGTGGTGTTGGCCTCCCCTCCGGGAAGGTGGTTGATTAATGCTTGGTTTGTTGAGAAGACGAATCAGAAAACTGAATGTGGTTGTACTGTGTGTGTGAGTTTCGGGACCAGTGCAGTTGTGTTTTGCAGCGTGGCCAGGGTTGGGCGGTGCTTACCTGAGAAGCACTCAGGAGCAGCGCTGCTGGATGGGACAGTGCAGTGGTGGGAGTGCTTCCATCTGCTCGGTGCAGCGTGGTAGCCATTAGCCCAGTGTAGCTACCGAGCAGTTGAAATGTGGTTAGTGACTGAGCAACTACATTTTTTTATTACATTTAATTTTAATTAGTTTAAGTTTATGTAGCCACATGTGCCTGGTGGCTAACGTATCAGTGCAGCTCAGGGGTTTTCTACTTGAAACTGACCAATTTAGGCATAATATTGATTAGGTCAACTGAAATATTGGTGACGTCTTGTATACTTCTCCTTGCTGTGTCTCAGAGTATTTTCGCGCATGTGGGATTTTTGATTTGGAAGTGTTGGTCTTTTCTCTGTTTCTGTGGGTGCACTGTCTGCCCTCTGGGATAACTTGTTAAAGTGGATCAAAAGAGTTGCACAAATAGAAATTTTGGTAGTTGAGTGTCTCATAAATAAAGTACCTGGAATAAGGAGTAGATATTACCGATGGACATTTTCTGAATGAATAAATTGGAAGTGATTTATGTAATACAGCTAGGAGAAATCCTGCATTATCCCTTCAGGTGAGGCAGTTTCTAGGAGACAATAAGTAGTTCTGTGCTTTGGTTTAGTCTGGCCTTAACTCGAGAATCTTATCTCAGCCCCATGCATCTAAAGGAGTGAGAATTCACAGTTCAAAAAGGTACATGATGATAGGAAGATAAAATTATACGAAATTTAGGGGTTGAAATGGATTCAGTTCAATTGTACACTTCAGATTAAATTTGAGTTTTGTTCAATTGAGGCGTAGAATATATATCAGAGCCCTGGCATAGACCTGTAGGACAGAGGACCTGCCGGATAATGTTAGTCCATTTGTTGTCAGATTACTGAATGAATATTAATCTCATAAGGGAACAGAACTGATTTGAGTGTAAAAAATATCAACTGGTCATTTTGTGTGTGGTGCTAGTCAATACTAGATTATAAGAAATTTTAATTTCATTTCAAAAATAATTTGCTCCTTTTAGATCCTAGAAGTACGTAAAATTGCTGATTGAAGGATTCAGAGGCTCAGATTTAATCTGAGTAATGAGCCGTCTTTTTTCCAGCTCTCAAAATGGCCCTGAATAAAGATTCATTGGTTCTTGCAGACAAATTAACACTTGTTCAAATTGCTTCTCTTCTGCACATCTTTTACTTTATGGTATCCCTTGTCCTAGGATGAGGAAGTGCCAGAATCTGCAGTGGATGCCTTCCAAAGCCTACCTTCAGAAGCAAGCAAAAGGTGATGTAGGAAGCTCTTCCCCTGGCTTCTCGCTTTGATGCCCTACAGTTGGGTTCTTCGGGGTAAAGAGAACACTGCTGTGTATTCCCTTTAAGGCCATTCTTTCCCAGGGAGTTAATGGGTGTCGAAGCTGGGTGATGGGTACGTGGGGGTTCATTTTACTATTGCCTTTACCTGGAATATGTTTGAAAATTTCCATAATAAAACATTTTTTAATTCATATAAAAATCAGTTCTTCCATTTCCTAGAGCAGTAAAAGTGTAGCTATTTTATCTGAGCAACTTAACTTTCATGAGCCTCTTCAGTGTCAGCATTAGCTGCAGGGAACTGAGATAAGATTTTGTTACATTCCTATACTTTTAATTAAAACTTTTCTTGCTTATAAATAAATAATCATGTTTTTCCCCTAGCTGTGAAAAAGAAAGAGAAAAAGTCTAAGACCAGTGAAAAGAAAGAGAGCAAAGAGAGCAGTGTTGTGAAGAACTTGGTGGACTCTAATCAGAAACCTACCCCACCAGCAAGAGAGGATCCCGCCCCCAAGAAAAGCAGCAGTGACCCTCCCCCGCGAAAGCACACTGAGGAAAAGAGTGAAGATGGGAATGCCCCAGCTCCAGGACCTGAGTCCAAACAGGTTACCACACCAGCTTCCAGAAAGTCCAGCAAGCAGGCCTCTCAGCCAGCCCCAGTCATCCCCCCACAACTGCCCAGCACAGTACCACCAAGAAAAGAAGTTCCCAAGACTATGCCCAGTGAGCCCAAGAAAAAGCAGCCTCCACCACCAGAATCAGGTGAGTGCAAGGCAAGAAGGAATTGCTGGACCACAAGTACTAGCAAAAAGCACTGATATCTTAAATAGCATTTGGAAACCTGAAATTTATATTTTTAAGTCTTCAGTGTGAGAAAATTATCTTTTAACCATTATAGAGTAATAAAGAAATAGAAGCAAAATACCAGTTAAGTTGGAGATACTGTCTTAATTTCCTATTTAATACCTAGAGTTTAAATAGTTTTGTTTTTTCTAATAGCCTTTTCTTCACGGGCCAGTCAGTCCTAAAGTAGTCATTGCTATTTCTCATTAACTGTGAGTTTAGCAGCATCTGACTGCAATTTATTTTGAATTCTTTAGGTCCAGAGCAATGCAAGCAGAAAAAAGTGGCTCCTCGCCCAAGTATTCCTGTAAAACAAAAACCAAAAGAAAAGGTGAGAGATTTGTTTCTCTGCCACTTCTCGGGGGTCTGCTCTATTCTGTAGGAAAACAGCTTTATTCTTGGCACTCACACAACTGAGTGAGACCGCATTTTTGCTTCTATGGGGCTGGCAGTGGAATTTAGGCTTCAGCTTGTATCTTTTTTCTCTCTTTCCCCTTGTTTTTCCCTCCTTGTGGCCCTACATGCTTATGCTATAGGCCGCTTAGCATAATAGTTTTTTGCCCAATAATCACCCTTTCCTGTGTGCACTTTTTATTACGTGGAGAGACAGAGAGAGATCTTTTAAGAATCTTCTGGTTCTTCCCACCAACTTCCCATGCCACCATGGTGATACACATGTATGTTCTGGCTGATGCTCTCAGGAGCATCAACAGTGCCAAAAAGGGAGGCAAACGCTAGCTTTTTATTAGGTTGTGCTTCTCATTCGTCGCCTGGTTTCTAACGGTGATGATGAAGTGTTGGCAGATTTGAAACCATCACTGATCGTAGAACTGGGAAATGGTTCTGAACCTCATGGGCAGGTTAAGCAAGTGTGGAGTGATCAGCCCAAATTCGATGTGCAACTAGAAGATCTAGAAAAATGGCAGAATAACCTGCCCCTGTCCCATTAGTTTGGTTTCATTGTACTGACAACCTCAGCTGGCATCATGGACCCACAAAGAAGCAAGATGAAAACACACAGGAGGAAAAATCCTGCAATTCTTTTTCTAGGAATGTAATATATACAAGCAAATAAAATGCCTTAATGGGAAAAAAAATCTTCTGAAAAGTACTTCACTCTTTCTGTAGGATACTTATGTTGGAAACACATTGTCCAGTCTGTTAATTAGATTCGTCATTTGCATTATTTTCTGTTGCAAAGGGAAGGCAAGCCCTGGCTGGTGTGGCTTACCTGGGCACCAGAAAGGTTGCTAGTTCCAGTCCCGGTCAGGGCACATGCCTGGGTTTCGGGCTGCGTCCCTGGTGGGGGGCACGCAGGAGGCAGCCGATTGTTGTTTTGCTCTCACATCGATGTTTCATTCTCTCTCCCGTCCTCTCTCTCTAAAAATCAATAAAATATTTATTTTAAAAAGTGAAGGCAAGTAGAGTGTGGTTTTGTTCTTTATTTATCTTCTATCCCTATAGGAAAAACCGCCTCCAGTCAATAAGCAGGAGAACACAGGCACTTTGAACACCCTCAGCACTCTCTCCAATGGCAGTACTTCTAAGCAGAAAGTCCCAGCAGATGGAGTCCATAGGATCAGAGTGGACTTTAAGGTAAAAGTGTTTAGTGACCACCTAGTATGTGGAGAGTCCTGGGTTTTATATTTGTTTAATAATTTTTTTATTTTTCAATTACATTTGACATACAATATTATATTAATTTCAGGTGTGCATCCGTGTGATTAAACATTTCTGTAACTTAAGAAGTGATCACCCTGATCAGTCTAGTATCCATTTGGCACCGTATATAGTTATTACAATATTATCCCTGTGACTGCTCTGTAACTACCAGTTTGTGCTGCTTTAATCCCTTCACCTTTTTCACCCAGTCCCCCCAACCCCCCTCAAAATATTCTGGCAACTGTCGACTTATTCTCTGTATCTACGAGTTGTTTCTGTTTTGTTTGTTTATTCTTTAGATTCCACATATAAGTGAAATCATCTGGCATTTATCTTCCTCTGTTTGACTTATGTCGCTCAGCACAATACGCTCTAGGTCCATCCATGTTGTTGTAGATGCAAGATTTCATTCTTTTTTGTGGCTGAGTCATATTCCATTGTATGTATGCACCACTTCTTATCCACTCATCTATTGATGGGCACTTAGGTTGCTTCCATATCCTGGCTATTATAAATAACGCTGCAGTGAATATATGGATGCATATGTCTTTTCAGTTTAGTATTTTGTTTCTTCAGATACCCAGAAATGGAATTGTTGAATCCTTTGTCTCTTGTTATAGCCTTTGTTTTAAAGTCTGTTTTATCTGGTATAAGTATTGCTACCAGCTTTTTTTGTTTGTTCCATTTTCATGAAATGTCTTTTTCCATCCCTTTACTTTCAGTCTGTGTGTCTTTCCATCTGACATAAGTCTCTTGTAGGCAGCATATGTAAAGGTCTTATTTCCTTACCCATTCAGCCTCCGTATGTCTTTTGATTGGAGCATTCGATCCATTTGCATTTAAAGTAATTATTGGTAGATATGTATTTATTGCCACTTCATTTTTCATATTTTTAATCTTTTTCTTCTTCAAGAAGATCCTTCAACATTTCCTGTAGTGCTCATTAGATGTGATGAACTCCTTTAGCTTTTCTTTGTCTGGAAAGCTCTTTCTCCTTCAATTCTAAATGATAGCTTTGCTGGGTAATCTTGGTTATAGTTCCTTGCTTTCCATCCCTTTGAATATTTTTTGCCACTCCCTTCTGGTCTGCAAGGTTTCTGTTGAGAATCAGCTGACAGTGTTATGGGAGCTCCCTTGTAGTAACTAACTGCTTTTCTCTTGCTGCTTAAGACTCTCTCTTTGTCTTTAACCTTTGGCATTTTAATTATGATGTGTCTTGCTGTGGGCCTCCTTGAGCTCATCATTCTTGGGACTCTCTGTGCTTCCGGGACTTGTATGTCTGTTTTCTTTACCAGGTTAAGGAAGTTTTCTGTCATTTTCTTTTCTTCTTTTTGATTGTTGACAGTATTACAGATGTCCCCCAATGTCTGTCGTTTTTCTAAATAGGTTTTCAGTTCCTTGCTCTCTCTTCTCCTTACGATACCTCCCTCGTGCGAATGTTGGTAGGCATGAAGCTGTCCTAGAGGCTCTTCATTTGGGAGGATTTTGTTTTCTTGTTGCTGCTCTGGTTGGGTGTTTCTTCCTCCTTGCCCTCCAAAGCTCTGGTTTGATTCTCTGCTTCATCAGCTCTGCTACTGATTCCCTGTAAATTGTTCTTCATGTCAGTTAGTGTATCCTCATTTCTGACTTTTTTTATGTTTTCTATCTCCATTTTGATGTTTCCTGTCTCTGTTGGAGTGCTCTCTATAAGTTCCTCTACTCTTCCCCTAATTTCATTGAGCAGCCTTATAACCCGTGTTTTGAACTCTGCACCTAGTAGATTGCTTGCCTCCATTTATTTTAGTTTGTTTTCTGGAGTTTTGTTCTGTTCTTTCATTTGGGACTTGTTTCTTTGTCTCCTCATTTTGGCTGCCTCCCTGTGTTTGTTTCTATGTATCAGGTAGAGCTGTTATGTCTCCTGGACTTAGTAGAGTGGCCTAATGTGGTAGGTGTCCCTTGTAACCTGGTGGTGCACCCTCCCTGGTCACCAGAGCAAAGCGCTCCGGTTGTGCTCCCTGTGTGTGCTCTGTGTGCTCTCCTGTTGTAGTTGAGCCTGATGGCTGTTGGCACATCAGTGGGAGTTATGTACCTCCAAGCCGACTGACTAGGAGGACCAGGGAGGGGGTGGGGCGGGCCACAGTGGAGGAGCTGCTGTGTAGGAGCCCACCCCATGGAACAGGACTTCCTTTAGTGGGGCTCTGGTGCCCACTGAGTCCACCCCCTTGAGTGTGTTGCTAGTGGAAGTGGTTGGGTGGTGCTTCGATGTGGTCTGAAGCGGTCCACTGGGTGCGCTGGCTCTGGGGTCTCCTAGGAGATGCAGGCCAAGGCCAGCTGCTGCCTGTGCTCTGCCTGAGGCCACCTGGCGTGAGCTACAAGGTGATCTGCCGATGGCCGCTGCTTGTGCTGGAGCTTGGAGGTGCCTGGGAGAAGCCAAGCTGTAAACCGAGTTTGGCTGCTGCTAGTGCCCAGCTGGGGCTGCTTAGCAGCAGGTATGGGGCACACCAAGGCCAGATACAACTTGTTTGGGATTTGTGGACCTTTGAGAAGTTTTAGGGAAGTCTGAAGTATGACAGGGCAGGTTGTAAGGAAAAACCACTGGAATCATCGTGGGTGGGCCTGCTAGTTGGGTAGAGCAGGGTCTCGGGGAATCACTGGGGTAGGCAAACTTGTTAGCCAAGTTGATGGAGACTCAGTTATGGTACTGCCTGCGCCTGCACTGGGGAGGACTCAGCAAAGTTGGAGCTCAGAGGGAGTGAGTCTGAGTAAGTTTGTGTACGGACCTTTTAAGAGGAACACCTGAGACTCCAGCAGCCTCTGTGTCCCTCAGCCACAATCCCTACTGGTTTTTACAGCCAGAAGTTATGGGGACTTCTGTTCCTGGCACTGGAACCCTGAGATGGGGGGCCTGGTGTGGGACCCCTTGCTCCTCAGGGGGAACCTCGACGGCCAAGATAACCCTCCTGATTTTTAACCACCACATGCGGGTGTGGGACCTTGACCAGAAGCCAGTGTCATTGACTTTAGGTGTTAAAAGCAAGGAAATTCAGCACAAAGTGGGGAAATGAATAAAAACTACCATTAGCAGATGCTTTGGTCCCTGTTTGTGAGTTGACTAAAGAGCATCGGCCTTGAGATGGTCCTGGCGGTCCTGCCGTCCTGGGGACTCGGTGCATCCAGATGAGATGGTGCCTGAGGGGGTCATTCTCTCACCTGGGAATTAGCCCAGTGATGATGCGTGAATCCGCAAAACTAACAGGAATTCAGTCCCAGCATTATTTTGCATTGTAGTTAACATGAATTAAACCAATAAATAGGTGAACCTTTTAACAGTTTGTATCTGAGATGAAAAATTTTAGAGCGGCAGTCGTTTTTGAGCTCATTACAGGCAGTGTTCTGGGCTGCTGCTGGCATTCTCATTTTACCATTTTTGCCCTTATTTTCATTCCATACTTGTGTCACTGTAAAACTTTCATAAATGATTTCTCTTTCTCCACAGGAGGACTGTGAAGCAGAAAATGTGTGGGAGATGGGAGGCTTGGGGATCTTGACCTCTCTTCCTATAACACCCAGGGTGGTTTGCTTTCTCTGTGCCAGTAGTGGACACGTAGAGGTAAGATACTGTCTTCTCGGTACCTTAGGAAGCATAATGTAGTTTATTTTTCTGTGAAGAAAATATTCTGTTTTGTTGGTATGCAGCAGGTACTAACCCCTGTTTAAACCAGTTATGAAATGCTTTTGAAATGTTTTAGAGATTTTAGGAAGAAATCTGCTTCTTAGTGTGGAAAGTTTAATAGTTAATCTCCTAACTTTACTCTTTATTAGAGGTCTGATTTTTCTGCTAGGTGTTCAATCATGGAAAAAAATAATACAGCGTTCCTCCAGAACAAGAGATGCTTTTGATGGTTTTTATATCTAAAGAGCTCTTAGCAATTAATAAGAAAAAGGAGTAACACCCAATAAAAAATAGGCCGAGGGGACAGGAATATGTAATTCACAAAATGAGAAGTAAAAACATTGTGGGCAGAGGCATTAAGCCTTCTGATGACCAAGGAGTGGGAAGTAAAGCATGGTATAAAAGGACGGGGCAGGAATGGCACTCTCTGTTGGTGGAAATCTAGATTAGTTGCAGTCTTTCTGAGGGTTAAGTATGTACTTATTTTTTTAAATGGGTATGCCCTCTAACACAGCAATTGTACTCTGGGCATTTATCTTATGGATACAATTAGATAAATTGGCAGATATGTAAATGTGTATGTGTGTGTAATACATATATATTATAAAGCTTTCTATATTATGTACACGTATAATAAAGAGAAGGGTTTCTTTCAGTATTGCTTATGCTGGGATTGCTTTAGATATCATTAAAACGAGGAATATTCAGTCTGCAAGCGCCAGGGGGCTACTGTATCTCTTTTCCCACTTAATCTAATGCTTTGCATTCACATGTATGCTACCCACGGGAATAACTTATGCACCAGTACTTCAGTTTCTGTGATAAAACAGGTTTTTTCAGTGTCGTTGCTCTAATTTAAATTGTGCAGCTGTGGCCCTACCTGGTTTGGCTCAGTGGTTAGAGCATTGGCCCTGGGACTGAAGGGTCTTGGGTTCGATTTCGGTCAAGGGCATATACCTTGGTTGCAGGCTCGATCCCCAGCCCCGGTCAGGGCGCGTTCGGGAGGCAACCAATCGATATGTCTCGCCCATATTAATGTTTCTCTCTCTCCTTTCCACTCTCTCTGAAAAGCAGTGGAAAAAATATCCTTGGGTGAGGATTTTTTTTTAAAGTTAAAAAAATAAAAATTAAAAATGAATTGTGTAGTCATGCACAGCAATCCCACAGAATTCCTACGAACTTTAGAGGATGGGTGGCACGCTGCCCGCATTGCCCTCCGACAGCACAACAGTGCTTGATGGGTTCTCCAGCTGTCCACATTGTAAAAAGTCCTTATGGTGACATGATTTCAGGTTTTCAGAAACGTTGCAAGAGTAGTACAGAGAGTTCCCAGCCTGTCCGGTGTGGCTCAGTTGGTTGAGTGTCCCATGAACCAGGAGGTCACAGTTTGATTCCCAGTCAGGGCGCATGCCAACATTGCGGGCTCGATCCCCGGTAGGGGGCATGCAGAAGGCAGCCGACTGATGTTTCTATTTCTCTCTTCCTCTCTGAAATCAGTAAAAAACATAGGTATTTAAAAAAGGAAGAAACGAATCCCATATCCCCTTTATCCAGAGTCCCCAAATGTTAATATTTTTCATTTGCTTTATGCTTTTCTCTTTGTGTATTTATATTTTACAAAATAAGAAATAAAATCTAATGAACCAAATAAACTGACGAACAAAATAGATACGTCAGACTGACGTATTTCAGAGGGAAGGCGATGGGGGAGGAGATTAACCAGAGAACTTAACATGGATATATGCACAACCCATGGACACAGACAGTAGTGTGGTGAAGGCCTGGGGTGAATGGGAGGCAGTGGAGGGGTCAGTGAGGGGGAGAGAAGGGGACATCTATAATACTTTTCAACAATGAAGATGAATTTTTAAAAAGAAATAAAATTTACACACATTTTTACAAATAGGCACTTTTAAAAAAACTGTATCTTTTTTTATTGATTACAGAGAGAGGAAGGGAGAGAGAGAGATAGAAACAATAATGAGACAGTTGTCATTGATCGGCTGCCTCCTGCATGCCCCTGACTGGGGATCGAGCCTGCCACTCGGGCATGTGCCTGACCGGGAATCGAACCCCGATCGCCTGGATCCTAGGTCGACGCTCAACCACTGAGCCACACCTGGCCAGGCAAAGAGACACATTTTTTCCTAAAAATTGAGAGTAAGTTAAAGACATGCCATTTTACCTCTAAATATTATAATTATCAAAATCAGGAAATAACATTGGTACATTATTATTACCTAATCTATGGACCTTATTTAGGTTTGACCAATTGTCCCAATAATTATTTTATGCAAAAGAAAATTCTGGGACACCCTCATTGGAATTTTTAAAAATATCTATATGAAAATAACTTCTAAAGTTAGACATGGAAAGGATAAACCAGAGCTCATGATAGTTTATTTTTATTTATTTATTTATTTATTTTTAAATATATCCTTATTGATTTCAGAGAAAGGAAAGGAGAGGGAGAGCAAGAGAGAGAAACATCAATGATGAGAGAGTCATTGATCGAGCCCGCAACCCGGGCATGTGCCCTGACCTGGAATCGAACCCCGGTCGCCTGGATCCCAGGTCGACGCTGAACCGCTGAGCCACGCCTGGCCGGGCTCATGATAGTTTAGAATATTGTAAAAAACCTTTAAAACCCTCCCTATTTCCTCCTACCACACTCCTTTACATTCCCATAGCTCTTAGTTTATGGCTATCATACATCACTTAGCACATCATATGAAACCTTGGATTGCATTTATTTTGTTACTTTATAATTCTTCTATACCCACATTAGTTCCCCGAATCTCCTGCAGTGCCCCATATTGTGCTGTTTAAAAAATATAGTCATTGCTTAATGAATAGGTGTTGAATAAAATATAAATAGTACTATATTCCGAAAGCCCGAAGTATGTATGTAGGATCTGGTTGATATTCTGCATGTTACTTTACAACTTTTGTTTCCATCTTTCACTAGTTTGTGTATTGCCAAGTCTGTTGTGAGCCCTTCCACAAGTTTTGTTTAGAGGAGAATGAGCGCCCTCTGGAGGACCAGCTGGAAAATTGGTGTTGTCGCCGCTGCAAGTTCTGTCATGTTTGTGGAAGGCAGCATCAAGCGACGAAGGTACAGAAGAGCAAGAGAGCTGCTTAGAGCATGACTCTCTCTCTCCACGTCTGCCTTTTACTTTAGGATTTTGTATCTATTTTTTCTCTTGGCTTAGTCTGTTTTGACTCTTTAATTGGGTATAATCACTTGCCTATTTTTTTGTTTTAATTTTGGGAATATAGCAGAAAACATGGTGTCGGATAAAATCCCCAAGATAAGTCAGATCTACCTGATAAGAACATTCCTCACTGAGTACCTTTGGCAGAAATTAAATCCCTGTGCTTTAATCGAGAGTAAATAATTTATGAGGATATCTGAACTGTTATAAAAACGTGCTCTGCTTATTTGAAGACAAACAGGAAATGGGGCGTGAGGTAGCAGGCATCGAGGGAAGGGGTTGTGAGGCTCACCTTTTGCCTTTGTATTTTCCTTACAGCAGCTGCTGGAATGTAACAAGTGCCGAAACAGCTATCACCCCGAGTGCCTAGGACCTAACTACCCCACCAAACCCACAAAGAAAAAGAAAGTTTGGGTGAGTGCACACATTATGTTGTTTCAGAGAGAACTGTCATGGAACTGTAGGCTTGGATGACTTCATAATAGGAATGTTCTTGCTTGAGGATGTCAGGAGAACAGTTTTTCTGGCCCTGGTATTAGAAGAAGCCATCCCAGTAGAGAAGTCAACTCTAGACATGTGTGATCTTTTTAAATAAGAAGAGATACTAAAAATGACATTCTATTGAGTTTCTTTTCTTCCTTCCAGATCTGTACCAAGTGTGTGCGCTGCAAGAGCTGTGGGTCCACAACCCCAGGCAAAGGGTGGGATGCACAGTGGTCTCACGACTTCTCGCTGTGCCATGACTGTGCCAAACTCTTCGCTAAAGGTACCTCAGAAAACCAGTTTTCCTACTTTCAGATGTTGTTCTTGATGTGTTGGAGGTGAACTGAACACTCCAGTGGAATAAGATAAAAGGTCTTACATGTATTTTCAAGGTTCCCATTTAGACACATTTACCAAGTTTCTGGTCTTGCCCTTTCTTTTATACAGAGAATTTTAGCAACTAGATATGTTTTATTACGTTATGGGAAGAATTAAGTAGAATTTTTATAAGAGATAACTAACCACAAAGAAATGCTCTGAGCCAGCATTTCCCAAAGTGAGTAACTAGGTATTTGATTGTTCTAGAAATGATTTTATGTGGCACTGAGGCAAACATTTTACTTTAATAGTTATGCTAGAAAAACGTGTAAGTAATGCGTTAAACTCATTATTTTATTGACTTAGGATAATAATGATGTAAAAGTTCACTATTGAAGCTATTTAAAATAAGCAAATCAATGTTAAGTCTGTTAAGTAAAAAATAATAGGGGTGTGTGGATAAGGCTGAGCGGCAAGGCCTTCGTGCGCAGCTTCGGGAGGGCCGCTGCAGGGGCTCAGGGCCAAGGAAGACGCACCTTAGCTAACAGCCTTTTACTCCCACAGCCTCACCTCTTTTCAAAACTTCAGACATTTCTTTGGAATGTTTAAGAGATAAAGTTCTCTCTTCCATTCTTTGTCTATTATGTTATCTGTAACATCTACCTCATGACCTTTAAAAACTTGTCGGAAGAGGAGAATTAGCAGCCTGTTCTAGGAGCCCAGGATCACCTTGCCCTTCGCGGTGTGTGAGCCACCCCAGGGGCCCCGTGCAGGAGCGCCTGCGTCTTGGGTCAGGTTGACATGGAATTCAAGGGCTTGGAGGCATCGGTGTGTGAACCAAGCACCACTGAAAACTTTGCTTTGCTTTCAGGAAACTTCTGCCCTCTCTGTGATAAGTGTTACGACGACGACGACTATGAGAGTAAGATGATGCAGTGTGGGAAGTGTGATCGCTGGGTCCATTCCAAATGTGAGAATCTTTCAGGTACAGAAGGTTGGAGTCTTTTTATTATAGTTTCTTTCTTTCTTTTTACAGCTATGTTTATAACTCCCAAGTACTACCAGTGTAAATTATGGTAGTGTTGTTTGAAGTCTTTTAAAATTATTTTTTTTGTCTTTAGAATCAACACCATTGTGTGAAGTTTGTGCTCGTTTATCTGGAGCACATCCCTCTGAAATATTTACTTGCTCTCCTTTGCTGGTACCATCACCTATTGATTCCCCAATAACCAAATCCTTGGTTAGTGTTAATGTCTCTTTGAAGATCAATTGTGCGAGTTCCTAGGGGATATTAGGCTTACTACTGATCCTAACATACAGCTTTATATCGCGTTCAGTGGAATAGTCTCCTATTTCCTCTCTCCCACTCTTCAAAGCACCTCATAACTGTGGGTTTTTTGCTTTCCTAGATGAAATGTATGAGATTCTATCTAATCTGCCAGAAAGTGTGGCCTACACTTGTGTGAACTGTACTGAACGTCACCCTGCGGAGTGGCGGCTCGCCCTTGAAAAAGAGCTACAGACATCTTTGAAGCAGGTCCTCACGGCCTTGTTGAACTCTCGGACCACCAGCCATTTGTTACGCTACCGACAGGTGGGCCCAAGTCTCCTTCTGGGTTCTGAGAGTTTGTTCTTAGATGGTTTTTACTGACTAACAGAATGGTTTTGGGTTGGTTGTTTTTTTTCTTTTTATAAAAAATTTTGCTTCATTTAGTCAATTGGGTTACTTGTTTTGGCCTAAAATCATTAAGAACATTTTTAGAGCCAAGAATAGGACCTTTTTTGGGGTAAGAAATAGGAAGGGGCCATGTCTTCAAAGGCCTTAACTGTTATAAGAAGTTTGGACTTTATATTCTAAAGGCCATGGGGAGTCAGTGAAGAACTTTACCCCAAAGAGAACCTAGCCTGGCAGGAACAGTGGTTGAAAGGCAGTTCTATAAATCTAGGTAAGAGAGCATGGTGGCCTAATCTAAGATGATATGGGGCTAGAGACCCTTATCTCTGGGAAATCCCTGGGGCTCCTCGGGGCACAATTTGAAAACCTCTACTTTTTGCACATACAAGTAGTGGACTATATGTCTATAAGTAGTCATTGGGAACACAAGGTGTAATGGTTGGAAGAACCACGTGGATAACTTTTTTTTATTATGTCTTTATTGATTTCAGAGAGAGGGAGAGAGAGAGAAACATCAGTGATGAGAGAGTCATTGATCAACTGCCTCCTGCACACCCCATACTGGGGATTGAGCCCAAAACCTGGGCATGTGTCCTGACTGGGAATCAGACTGTGACCTCCTGGTTCAGGGGTCAACACTCAACCACTGAGCACGCTGGATGGACTGGATAACTAACTCAAAGTTAGGCTGATGCTTTATATTTTAATAGAGCTTAATTTTTTTAATCAGGAAATTAGCTGCCATTTATGGCTTACTCAAAAGCAACTGGACAGTTTCTATTTCTTCATACTAGGTTTGAAGTTACCAAGCAAAGATCTTAAATTAGCCCAGTGGAGCTATTAGATAACTGGCTTATTTTAGCTTTTCCTATAATTGGGAGAAATCTCTTATTTCCGTGTTCTTTAAGTTTTATAATATAAATCATTTGGTACCATCTTTATTAATTTTAATGTAATTTGCATAGATGCCTCATTTTCAGTGTTAGATAAATGAAATATATTTTCCCTGGCAACAGGCTGCCAAGCCTCCAGACTTAAATCCCGAGACCGAGGAGAGTATACCATCCCGCAGCTCCCCAGAGGGACCCGACCCGCCTGTGCTTACTGAGGTCAGCAAGCAGGAAGATCAGCAGCCTTTAGATCTGGAAGGAGTCAAGAGGAAAATGGACCAAGGCAACTACACATCTGTGGTATGTCTATAGAAAAGCGCCAACATTTCAAGTACTGATTTCATTTCCTTAGGTCTCATGGAAGGTGAAACTGGGTGTAAATGTTAAAAGATTATTTGTATTATTATTTAGAAATGTCATGTGGCTTTAAATACCTAAAAACAGGTGAGTTGTTGTAGCTCTGTGTTTCAGAAGGTGAGTTAGGGCAGGGACAGTGGTGTTGCAAATGGCTTTTATTTGACTTTCATCTGAGTTCTCTGAAAATTATTTGTATATTTAAGTAGTTTTTATTTTAAAAGTGTTTATGGCCCTGGCTGGTGTTGCTCAGTTGGTTAAGCACCATCCCCTGTACCGAGAGGTCACGGTTTGGTGCCCAGTGAGAGCACATACTCCTGTGCAGACGAGATCCCTGGTGGGGGTTGCGGGAGGCCGCCGGTAGATGGTTCTCTCTCACCTGTGTTTCTCTCTCCCTCTCCCTCTCTTCCTCTCTTTCTCTAAAATCAATAAAAACATATTTTTTAAAAACTTTATAGAAAAAATGACAGTGTGAAGTTAATTGGTTTGACCCTTTTGAGATAACATCTGAATAATGTCTTTCTATATAGGATATTCATTTGTAGGTAGATGCCTTTTAATTTTATGGTTTTCAAACTGTGTAGGAAATGATTGTTAACTCATGGTCCATATTTGCTATTCAGTTGTTAATTGATTTTAGTCTAAATAAAACACCGTGGCCCTGCTTGGGTAACTTACCACAATACAGCTGATTCATTTGCGTTCTTGCTTTATTAGCCTTGCCTCTCTCGACTCCCACAGGTTAGCTGTGAACTGGCTCTCACAGGCCTCCCCTAAAGAGAAACCGCACTGTATGAAAATAGGTGTTGGTTTCCTGTTGGCCCCTGTGCTGGGTGCTCTAGGAGGGAAAGGGAAGTGGTTTGATAACACTTTTTTATGAATAATTAATGCTTTGTTTTTGTCTACAGTTGGAGTTCAGTGACGATATCGTGAAGATCATTCAAGCAGCCATTAATTCAGATGGAGGGCAGCCAGAGATTAAAAAAGCCAACAGCATGGTCAAGTCCTTCTTTATTCGGGTGAATGATATTAATAGTTCATCTTTTTATGGCTTATCTGTGGGTAGTTACCCCATGAACAGAACAGATTTTTTTATTTTATTTATTTATTTTTAAATATATCTTTATTGATTTCAGAGAGAGGAAGGGAGAGAGAGAGATAGAAACATCAATGATGAGAGAGTCATTGATCGGCTGCAGCCCACAACAAGGGCATGTGCCCTGACCGGGAATCGAACCCTGATCGCCTGGATCCTAGGTCGACGCTCAACCGCTGAGCCACGCCCGGCTGGGCCACATTTTTTTAAACTCTTCCATATTTTGATTTGCTCTATATAAAAGACACCTTTTGGTTTAATTCATTCCTCTGACTCTTTGGGAGGAAGTTGTGAGGACCCCAGAGTGGATGGATCTTTTCCTTGGTGGCTTGACGTCATCCTCATACTGACAGAAGCGTGTGTAAAGTGTGGTTTTTATGTGGTTTCCAAATGAATGTTCACATGTTTACATTTTGTTTGTTTGTTTTTCTGTTAGCAAATGGAACGTGTTTTTCCATGGTTCAGTGTCAAAAAGTCCAGGTTTTGGGAGCCAAATAAAGTATCAAGCAAGTAAGTAAATTCTGTATTGCTTTTTTCTTCTCACCAGCTAGAAATCAGAGTTCTTATATTTCTGGATAGAGGTCTTTCAAGACTAGATTTTACTATTGAAAAGTGAATCAGTTGAAATGCCTTTTCGGTGCTGGCTTGGAGGCTGTAGTGTTTATTATAGTCGGTTGCTGTAACTGGGCTGTTTTATTCTGTTCGAATGGTGTTCTCTACCTCTCTTGAGTCTCCATGCTTAACCTTACATTTTTATTCCAGTGAATTCTTTTGATTCTTTGATAAGGTTATCATTTGTTTCTGGAAGTTTAACCAAGATTATATATTTTAAAATAATATAAAGTCCTGTGTATTTAGGCAGTTTCCAAATTGTGAGTTGTTCTTACATTCTGTGAATGGCTCGTGCCTGGGGCCAAGACCCGATGATATCGAGAATGTCATTATTGTGTGCGGTTCCGGGTACGTCATAGGGGTTCAATAAAGCCTTGTTGAATCAATTATTTTCAGCAGTGGGATGTTACCAAACGCAGTGCTTCCACCTTCACTTGACCATAATTATGCTCAGTGGCAGGAGCGAGAGGAAAACAGCCACACTGAGCAGCCTCCTTTAATGAAGAAAATCATTCCAGCTCCCAAACCTAAAGGGCCTGGAGAACCAGACTCACCAACTCCTCTGCACCCTCCTACACCACCAACTCTGAGTAAGGCACTGAATGAAGTCATTACTCGTTTCTCTCTAAATGCCCGTGATTGACTTTGTGAATCTAAATGTAAGATCCTTCCATATTAAAAATGCTCAGGTGATCCTTAGATATAATAAAATCATTACTTTTGCTTTACTTGCAGTGTTAACAAGGAATTTATGTAAATACTCTTAACAGGTGGTGAGAGAGCATAACTTCGAATGCTTTTTGAAAGTGTTCATTTTATAGGTTATAGGCTATTTAGCGGAGTTGTTTTCTTTTTCCTGGAAATAAAAACTAGCATTGCCAGTTTTAACTGGTGTCTTTTGGATTCCAAGGTACTGATAGGAGTCGAGAAGATAGTCCAGAACTGAACCCACCTCCAGGCATAGAAGATAACCGACAATGTGCATTGTGTTTGACTTATGGTGATGACAGTGCTAACGTAAGTCCTTCAGTGTACAGGGTCCTACTTATTAAATGCTTGGAATGAACTGTTTGTCCTTTGTGTCTAAACTTGATGACTGGGTGTCATGTATTTAATGAACGTTTGTCACGTAGTTTGTGGAACTTGGGCTTATTTCTATAACTGATTTAGTTGATTTAAATGATGATTTGCCTTAAATCAACCTGCTGATGTCTGGTAATTTCTGCAGGAAGTCCCTCAAAAAGATATTATGAAAGTCAGTAAAATATAAGTTGCATGTTAAATAATGTGTGAGTAATGTAATGTAACAGAGTGGTTAAGATCCGTTTCTGTGCTGTTGACCATAGCAAGGAACTGAGCCTCTCTGACCCTCAGTTGTGTCTTTAAAATGAGAATAATAATAGTAATAATCCTCACTGCAGACGGTGACAAGGACCGGAGGAAATAATGTGTGAAGCACATCGTAAGCTTGTTTTTCAATTCTGTTTATAAAGCATTTCCAGTCTGTGGGAGAGGTCATCAGAAAGGAGACGTGGAAACAGAAACATTGAAAAAGAAGTGTGGTTTTTTATGTGTGTGTTCACTTAAAGAATTTTAATTTATTGAAGTTGTCCTGACTGAGGTAAAGCAAATACCAAGGAAAACTTTCTTTGATACATTCTATAAGAAAAAAGAAATCTCTCTATTTTCTAGGACGCTGGCCGTTTGCTGTACATTGGCCAGAACGAGTGGACACATGTGAACTGCGCCTTGTGGTCGGCAGAGGTGTTTGAAGATGACGACGGGTCTCTGAAGAACGTGCATGTGGCCGTGGTCAGGGGCAAGCAGCTGGTGAGAGCGGGGCAGGTGCTGCGGAGGAGGCTGCCTTCCATTCCCAGAGTTCTTTCTGTGGCTGAATGCCTCTCACTGATGTTCCCATCGTGCCTGCAGCTGGTTAGCCAGTAAGAAATGCTGGTGTCCACTGTAGGCAGATTATCACTCTGACCCTTGGGGTATGGGCGCAACAGAAAAAAATGTGTCTTCCCTGGAGAAGAGCCCAGATTGTGACCCACAGACAAGCTGGTGACACACATTCGTTACAGGAAAATTTTAATCATGTGATGAGTTTGTCTGTGAAGCCTAGTGACCAGAGAACCGTTCTATTTCTGACTAGTATAATCTTTCTAGCTGAGTTCTTTTGGATATAGCAGCTCTCTAGAAAGATGATGTTTTTAGCTTTGATCTTCAAAGTTTCATCTTCTCTAAATCAATCTTGCATCCTAGAATAAGAACTGTGTTTGGTCCAAATTCTAAATCAAATTGTAATATTTAAATTTAGTAGTTATAGGGCCCCATGGACTATGGGAGAAAGATTTGTAGAGGAGACTTTATGGCTCATATCCCTTCTCTGTAATTCAGCAGATTATCAGGAAACTAAATGAATGATAGGAAACCCAGAATGGGGTGCTTCCATAGAGGAGGCGGAAAACAGTTTAAAGCATTGACAGTCTGACTCCACTCTGTTCTTTCTGCATTGTTAGCGGTGTGAGTTCTGCCAAAAGCCAGGAGCCACTGTGGGCTGCTGCCTCACATCCTGCACCAGCAACTACCACTTCATGTGTTCCCGGGCCAAAAACTGTGTCTTCCTGGATGACAAAAAAGTATATTGCCAACGGCATCGGGATTTGATCAAAGGCGAGGTGAGAGCTTTAGTTGCTTTTTGAATTCTCTAGGAATTCAGGGAAAATAGACTGAAAATAGCAAGCAAGGTCGTAAACTTTCTTTTACCTTCCTATTAGGCTCCTAGGCCTTCCTCCGTTTAGAGAAATGCAGAACTTCTTCTGGTGAGACAGGGGGGTTCAAGATATGTTCTAGACCTTCCCTCTGAGAGAATCAGTATCCCGAAGATGGTTTATAAAGGGACAGCTTATTAACAGTGACCCTGGGTTTTCATTTAAGGTGGTCCCTGAGAATGGATTTGAAGTTTTTAGAAGAGTGTTTGTGGACTTTGAAGGAATCAGCTTGAGAAGGAAGTTTCTTAATGGCTTGGAACCAGAAAATATTCATATGATGATTGGTATGACGTGGGCCTGGGTTGTTGGGGAAGAGTAGATGTGTCACTGGAGTACTTTCTAGTCTTTAGTTATAAAATTATATATTATGTATCTCCTCTAATAGGTTCTTCTTTCCTTGGTCAGGTTCCATGACAATTGACTGCTTAGGAATTCTAAACGATCTTTCTGACTGTGAAGATAAGCTTTTTCCTATTGGATATCAGTAAGTAGCACTGTAAAGAGAAGACAGCAGCCCCACTACTTGAGTACCCTGAAGCAGTGACCAAACCGTTAAATCTAGAGCCATACTTGTGAGCTACTTTTAACTGCTATTAAAAATTAACTACTTTTTTGCTACTTCTCGTAGATTAGGACTAAAGTATCACTTTATGTCAGCTAAATCCAGTTATGGAAGAAAAGCATTGAATAATACTGTGATAAGTTTGCATGGTGACATGATTACTAGAATTAATGGGGTGATCACATTGTAAGGTATAAAAATATTGAATCACTGTCCTGGTTGGGTTGCTCAGTTGGTTAGAGTGTTGTCCCGATATGCCAAGGGTGCAGGTTTGATCCCCCAGTCAGGGCACATACAGCAATCAACCAGGGATGCATAAATAAGTGGAGCAACAGATTGATGTTTCTCTTTCTCTCTCCCTCACTCTCTAAAATCAATATAATAAAATTAAATTTTTTTTTAAGTTTTAAAAAAATATGTCAAATCACTATGTTGTACACCTGAAACTAATATAACTAATATAATATTGTAAACCAACTAACTATACTTAAATTATTTTTTTTTTCAGAATTGTTTCTAAATAAAATCTAAATAGAAAACACAGTGTCAGTCTCTCGAGAGTCCATTCATCTGGGTTCAAAAGTCCAGGTTGTTGTCACGGTCACGCACACCTGGACCTCTGTCCCACCACAGTTTCACATTTTCTAGGTCCTTCTAAAAATATAACTCCCACAAAAATAAGCAAATTCTTCAGTAGGAATTTATAATCTTTCCCACATGAAATAAATTGTTTAAACTTCTACCAAGCTGACAGTATAAATTCAGAATTCCCTTTCTATCTCTCTCCCTTTAGAGTCTCATTTTGCTGAATGTACTTCAACTAATTCTGCATTCCAATTCTGAGGACAGTCGATACTCCACATTTAGCTGGCAGTTCTCTGTATAACTAGGCTCCAGCAGCAGCCAGCAGATTTGAAGCAGTTACATTTCCCTTGTCTCTTGGGGCTTTTCTCCCAAGGGAAACATCTCAAGTTTGCCCTTTCCTCACGTTGTACATGTTGTGGGGCAGAAGTCCCTTCCAAAAGGCCAGTAACTGTTTCTTGTGATAGTATTCTTTTAGGATATTTTACTATTTTTGTCCCCTGCTTACAGTACAATTTAAAAAAAAGATTTAATGCTGGTTTCTGAGAGGCTAGAAAATAATAAGGACTTTGAAAAAGCTTGGAACATCCTAACTTAGGAAATCTTTAAGAGTCCAGGAAATAAAGCTAAATTCTATAAATCAAGGAGACCAGGGTACCTAGGCTGAGAAGAGGTTTTGACAAATATTAGTCTTTGCTTCTGTACTCGCTTCTGGTGATTGTTACAAATCTTTGCTAGGTGTTCCAGAGTGTACTGGAGCACCACAGATGCTCGCAAGCGCTGCGTGTATACGTGTAAGATAGTAGAGTGCCGTCCACCAGTTGTAGAGCCAGACATCAACAGCACTGTTGAACATGATGAAAATAGGACCATCGCTCATAGTCCAACATCTTTTGCAGGTTAGTCTTTAATAGAGATGTTTCTTGAGTTAGACTTTTGGGTGTACTGTGATTGAAGCATGGGGAAAACAATTCCTTTGGGAGGTCTCATTTGATAATTTATCTTAAAGCTGGCTTTTTATTGGGTCATTTGTTTGATATTTTAATTGGACTTTTTTTAGTAAGGGTTTTTATATCCTTACCACAGAAATTTCATCTAAAGAAAGTCAAAACACAGCTGAAATTGTAAGTCCTCCATCACCAGACCGACCTCCTCATACTCAAACCTCTGGTTCCTGTTTTTATCACGTCATCTCAAAGGTTCCTAGGATTCGAACACCCAGTTATTCTCCGACACAGAGATCCCCTGGCTGTCGGCCATTGCCTTCTGCAGGTAAAGAGCTTCAGGGACTCCAAGAAGGTCAGCTCAGACAGGAGTTTGTAATTCCTTCAGGCAATTTTGTTTTAGTGACTTACCCTTATTGAAAATGTTGATCTTTAGTTGCCTATAAGTATATACAGCCAAGTCATTGAAACCAATGACTACCACACATTTGTTCTATCTATAATAGACTTTATTACTTTCTCTCGTTTAGGAAGTCCTACTCCAACCACTCATGAAATAGTCACAGTGGGTGATCCTTTACTCTCCTCTGGACTTCGAAGCATTGGCTCCAGGCGTCATAGTACTTCTTCCGTAACACCCCAGCAGTCTAAACTCCGGATGATGTCTCCCATGAGAACTGGGAATACCTACTCCAAGAATAGTGTTTCCTCAGCCTCCACCACAGGGACCACTACAGATCTTGAGTCAAGTGCCAAAGCAGTTGATCATATTTTAGGGCCACTAACTTCAAATACTCATTTAAGGCAAAACACTCCCACCTCTTCAAACTTGCAAAGGACAGTGGTTACTATGGTCGCTAAAACCAGTCACTTGGATGGCTCTTCATCCTCAGAAATGAAGCATTCCAGTGCTTCAGACTTGGCATCCAATAGCTCCTCTTTGAAAGGAGAGAAGACCAAAATACTGAGTTCCAAGAGCTCAGAGGGATCTGCACACAGTGTGGCTTACCCTGGCATTCCTAAACTGACCCCACAGCTTCATAATACATCTGGCGAATTAAATGTTAGTAAGATGGGCAGTTTTGCTGAATTCTCTTCAGTGCCATTTTCTTCTAAAGAGGCTCTCTCCTTCCCGCCGCTCCATTTAAGAGGGCAGAGGGGTGATCGAGACCAACATGCAGATTCCAACCAGTCAGTAAGTCCCCCTCCTGATGAAGATAATGACCTCAAAACCTTGAAGCTTTCTGGAGTGAGTAACAGGTCGTCTATTATCACTGAACATGTGGGATCTAGTTCCAGAGACAGGAGACAGAAAGGGAAAAAATCTTGTAAAGAAACTTCCAAAGAAAAGCATTCCAGTAAATCCTTTTTGGAACCTGGTCAGGTGATGGCTGGTGAGGAAGGAAACCTAAAGTCAGAGTTTGTTGATGAAGTTTTGACTCCTGAATTTATGGGGCCACGACCATGTAATAATGTTTCTTCTGATAAGATTGGGGACAAGGTCATTTCTACTCCAGGAGTCCCCAAGGCTCCATCCATGCAAGTAGAAGGCCCTGCCAAGGAATCACAGACACCCCGGAAACGCACAGTGAAAGTGACACTGACACCCCTGAAGATGGAGAGTGAGAGTCAGTCCAGGAAGACCCTGAAGGAAAGCAGTCCTGCTTCCCCTTTGCACATGGAGTCAGCATCTCCATCAGAACCAGTTTCAGCCTCTGGAAGTCCAGGAGATGGTCCAGTGGCCCAACCAAGCCCCAATAATACCTCATCCCAGGAGTCTCAGAGTAACAACTATCAGAATCTTCCTGTACAGGACAGAAACCTAATGCTTCCAGATGGCCCCAAGCCTCAGGAGGATGGTTCTTTCAAGAGGCGGTACCCTCGCCGTAGTGCCCGTGCACGGTCTAACATGTTCTTTGGGCTCACCCCGCTCTATGGAGTGAGATCCTATGGTGAGGAGGACATTCCGTTCTACAGCAGCTCCACGGGGAAGAAACGGGGCAAGCGGTCAGCCGAAGGACAGGTGGATGGGGCTGATGACTTGAGCACTTCAGATGAGGACGACTTATACTACTACAATTTCACTAGAACGGTGATTTCTTCAGGAGCAGAGGAACGGCTGCCATCCCATAGTTTGTTTCGGGAGGAAGAACAGTGCGATCTTCCAAAAATTTCCCAGTTGGATGGTGTTGATGATGGGACAGAGAGTGATACTAGTGTCACAGCCACTACGAGGAAAACCAGCCAGATTACAAAAAGAAATGGTAAAGAAAATGGAACAGAGAACTTAAAGATTGATAGACCTGAAGATGCTGAAAAAGAACATGTCATTAAGAGTTCTGTTGGCCATAAAAATGAGCCAAAGATGGATAACTGCCACTCTGTGAACAGGGTTAAAGCCCAGGGCCAGGATTCCTTGGAAGTTCAGCTCAGCTCATTGGAGTCAAGCCGCAGAGTCCACACAAGCACCCCCTCGGACAAAAATATATTGGACACCTATAATACTGAGCTCCTGAAATCCGATTCAGATAATAACAACAGTGATGACTGTGGGAATATTCTGCCTTCAGACATTATGGACTTTGTACTAAAGAATACTCCATCCATGCAGGCTTTGGGTGAGAGTCCAGAGTCCTCCTCATCAGAACTCCTGAATCTTGGTGAAGGTTTGGGTCTTGACAGTAATCGTGAAAAGGACATGGGTCTCTTTGAAGTGTTTTCTCAGCAGCTTCCAACAACAGAGCCTGTGGACAGCAGTGTCTCTTCCTCTATCTCAGCAGAAGAGCAGTTTGAGTTGCCTCTAGAACTACCATCTGATCTCTCTGTACTGACCACCCGGAGCCCCACTGTTCCCAGCCAGAATCCCAGTAGATTGGCTGTAATCTCAGACTCAGCAGAGAAGAGAGTAGCCATCACTGAGAAACCTGTGGCCCCTTCTGAGGATGACTCCACACTGCTGAGTCCAGGAGTAGACCCGGCGCCTGAAGGCCACATGACTCCCGACCGTTTCATCCAGGGACACATGGATGCCGACATCTCCAGCCCACCCTGTGGCTCAGTGGAGCAAGGTCATGGCAGCAATCAGGATTTAACTAGAAACAGTAGCACCCCTGGCCTTCAGGTACCTGTTTCCCCTACTGTTCCCGTCCAGAACCAGAAATATGTGCCCAATTCTACTGATAGTCCTGGCCCATCTCAGATTTCTAACGCAGCTGTCCAGACCACTCCACCCCACCTGAAACCAGCCACTGAGAAACTCATTGTTGTTAACCAGAACATGCAGCCACTTTACGTTCTCCAAACTCTTCCAAATGGAGTGACCCAAAAAATCCAATTGACCTCTTCTGTTAGTTCTACACCCAATGTGATGGAGACAAATACTTCAGTATTGGGGCCCATGGGCAGTGGTCTCACCCTAACCACAGGACTAAATCCAAGCTTGCAAACTTCTCAATCTTTGTTCCCTCCTGCTAGCAAAGGATTGCTCCCCATGCCTCATCACCAGCACTTACATTCCTTCCCTGCAGCTACTCAAAGTAGTTTCCCACCTAACATCAGCAGTTCTCCTCCAGGCCTACTTATTGGGGTTCAGCCTCCTCCAGATCCCCAACTTTTGGTTTCAGAAGCTAGCCAGAGGACAGACCTCAGTACCACAGTAGTCACTCCATCCTCTGGACTCAAGAAAAGACCCATATCTCGTCTACAGACCCGAAAGAATAAAAAACTTGCTCCCTCTAGTACCCCTTCAAACATTGCCCCTTCTGATGTGGTTTCTAATATGACATTGATTAACTTCACACCCTCCCAGCTTCCAAACCATCCCAATCTGTTAGACTTGGGCTCACTTAATACTTCATCTCACCGAACTGTCCCCAACATCATAAAAAGGTCTAAATCTGGCATCATGTATTTTGAACAGGCACCCCTGTTACCACAGACTGTGGGAGGAACTGCTGCCCCAGCGGCGGGCACATCAGCAGTGAGCCAGGACACTGGCCACCTCACTTCAGGGCCTGTGGCTGGCTTGGCATCCGGTTCCTCCGTCTTGAATGTTGTATCCATGCAAACTACAACCGCCCCTACAAGTAGTGCGCCAGTTCCAGGACATGTCACGCTAACCAACCCGAGGTTGCTGGCTACCCCAGATACCGGCTCAGTAAGCAATCTTTTAGTTAAAGCTGGCCAGCAGGGCCTGGGGATTCAGGACCAGCCTGTGGCTTTACCACCAAGTTCAGGAATGTTTTCACAACTGGGGTCATTACAGACTCCCTCTGCTGCTGCGATGCCAGCTGCATCTAGCGTCTGTGTCCTGCCCTCGTCTCAGACTGTGGGCATACCGGCTGCTTCACCTTCCAGGGAAGCTGAAGAGCACTATCAGCTTCAGCATGTGACCCAGCTGCTTGCCAACAAAACTGGAATCCTCTCCTCCCAGTGTGACCTTGACTCTGCTCCAGGGACCCAGGGGTCCAGCTTTACGCAGACGGATGCTCCTAATAGCATGGGGCTGGAACAGAAGAAGGCTTTATCCTCAGCTAGACAGGTCAACTCAGCCCCTCCTGGAGGCTCCCCATCCCCTGGACAGCAGTCAGCAAGTCCCTCAGCGCCGGGTCCCATGAAACCCAAACCGAAAATCAAACGGATTCAGCTGCCTTTGGACAAAGGGAATGGCAAGAAGCACAAAGTTTCCCATTTGCGGACCAGTCCTTCTGAAGCACACATTCCAGACCAAGAAGCCAGCGCACCGTCCCTGACCTCGTCCACAGGGTGAGAGATCCCAGTGTTGGCTTTGCTGGGTCTGGGATTTGTGCCCTGGAGTGGAGGCTGTTGAAGGGGTAATGTTGGGGATAGGGGTAGGCTTCTGTCCAGGTTGCAGTACTCGGGTGTTTTCTGGCTTTTAACTTTGATTTATTTTTTGTTTTTTACTCACAGTGGTGATTTATAGAGCAAAATTCAGTTTCATTGGTGAGCAGTGTGTCTCTTGGATAGAAGCCCATCCCTGATTACTCTTTGCTCTGATTTAACACAGTGCTGCCGTTTGCTCCTCTTGCTGAGGCTTAGTAAGCTTAGTAAGGATGCTGAGGGATAATTGTTCCTGCTTAGGGCATAACACACATAATGTGCACAAGTGAATTTGTACATATATGTGCGCCCATGTAGCCACCATTCAGATCAAGACAGAAAACGTTTCTAGTGCTCCAGAAAGCTCCTCGTGGCCTCTTAGCACCCCTGCAAGGTAACCACCATCTAAACTATATCGCCACAGGTTGCTTTTCCTGGCTCATAAATTTCACTAGATCCTGACTGAGTCCTTTCTTTGGACTGAGCCCACACTTGCTACATATTTGCAACCGATTCTGTTTCAGGACTCCAGCAGCAGGGGCTGAGCAGCAGGACACCGCTGGGGCGGAGCAGACCTCACCAAAGGAGTGTGGGCAGCCTGCGGGGTAAGCGTCGGAAGCAGCTCTCTAAGACTAAGTTCTCAGTCTACTCATCTCATTTAAAAATAGCTCTTCCTCACTTGTAGTGATTTTTGTTGCCAAAGTGAGTTTTTTAATCCTCACCAGAGGGTGTGTTTATTGATGAGAGAGAGAGAGGTCCATGTGAGTGAGAAACATTGATTGGTTGCCTCTTGCATGTGCGCCAACCAGGAATTGAACCTGCAACCCTTGGGCGCACAGAACAACACTCCCGTCAAGAGCCACTCTGACCAGGGGCCAAAGTTTTTTTTAATGGAAGTAATAAATACATGCTTGTTAGCAAAAAAGAAAACAGTATAGAGTTATTTAAATAATGGATAATGGTTCCCTGTTCCTCCTGCCTGACCCCCTCCCGGTCTATTCCTTAGAGGTAACAATGGTAATAACTTGTTTTCATCCATGGAGACGTTCCTGTGCACACACAGATACAGAGCGCATATACAGAGTGCACCTCTGTAAGGTGAATGACGTGAGTGTGCTGTCCTTTACTTGGCTTCATCGCTTACTGTTCTGTGCACACATTCTGTGCCCATGCCCATAGATGCACTTCTTTTTTTAATGACAGTTCTCAGTTCTCGTGATTTATCTAACTAGCCCCTATTGGTATACATTTGGGTTGTTTCCAAGGTTTATTTCATTTTTAAAAGTGAAAGCTGATGGTGCTTTACTGCTCATGCAACTTGCTTTTGTCTCTAGTCAGAGCTGCCAACTACCCTGCCGGTGGCTCAGTGGTTGGAGCATCGCCTCGTGCACCGAAAGGCTGCAGGTTCAGTCCCCAGTTGGGGCACGTATGGGAGGCAATCCATGGGTGTTTCTCTCTCACATTGATGTTACTTTCTCCCTCCTTCCCCACCCCCTCTCTAAAGTCAATAAACACATCCTTGGGTGAGGATTTAAAAAAAAAAAGCAGCCCACTTAAGCAGCTCCTAGTAACTCCAGAACTGCTTCTAACAAGTGTTAATTTTTCCTCTCATCTAAGGATGAGAAAAAATTTAAGGACACAGTCTACAACTCTAGAAGTAGAAATTTAATGTCAATACTTGGGGGAAGTCTCATCAGAGATGGTTTTCTGTTGGGCTCCGTAGGGTGGTGTGGTGATGGCATTCACTCAGTTCCCGTGGTGGCTTTGTGTGGCTGACAAAGCTGCGGGGCAGGTTGCACACAGCTTTTATCTTTGAACCGAAGTACTAGCTCATGTTTGGGGGTGTTTTTTGTGTGTTTTTTAGGCAAGTGGCTATCCTTCCTGAGGTTCAGACAACACAAAATCCAGCCAATGAACAAGAAAGTGCAGGTATGTGGGTGGGAACAAGTAAGAATGAGAATTTCAAAGCCAGACATGCTATAAAATCACCTACATTACCTACTGATTTTTCTAGATTAAAAAAAAAAATCTAAGTCCCAAAGAAGTTGACTGAGACTCAGCATTCATCTCCTGGCCCCTTGCCTGTCCACTGCATATTCTGTGGTCCTCTGTCAAGTAGAGGACACAAGACTCAAACCTTTAAATAGGCTCTGCTTGACCTGCTTTAATCATAATATGATTCAATTAGCTAGTGATAACCTGACTTCATTCACCCCTGTGTTGTCACTGAAGAAAACCAAGAAGTGTCCTTACTAAGATGGCCAGATTCTGGTTATGACACCAGATACATCTCCAGAGCCCTCTTCCTGTCCTGATGCAACCAACCAGTACACAGCAGATCACGACAAGATTAGGGAGCTCTGTATCGCTTTGCCGGTTTGTATTGAGGGATCTGTCTTCCCAAAAGAGAACCAAGCAGAAAAAATGCTTAGACACAAGGTTTGGGATGTGATCACATTCTGTTGAGTTGCTGATGCCTCGAGAAGATGGATCCATCTCTTTATGTGCAAGGACAGTAAGGGCTGCAAGTGTGGACTCTGGAACCAGAGGAGTTAAAACCTAGTGTTACCGTTTATTAGCTGTATGAACTTGGGCTACTTACTACTTACTCAGCCTCTCTCTAGTTCAGTTTCCTCACCTAAAATGTCAGTAATAACACCTACCTCATTGGACGGTTGTGAGGTTTTATGAGTTACTATCTAGGGGATTCCTAGGAGAGCCTGCTACATACTACTTCATACACATTAACATTTTTATTTTTGACATTAACCCTATAGAGGGCAGTTAGTATCAAATTGTCATACTAGGAACTCTACCACCAAGACAGCATGGCTTCATGTTAAAGACAAATTCTGTGAAAGGACACACCTGCAAAGCTGCTGAATATTATTATGAGATCTCTTGGGACCTCCCCTAAAATCTCCACCCTTTTAAAAACCGTAGGAGGAAGACCCAGCTGCTCTCCTTCGGGGGAGCCCCCCCCTTACCATTAGCTTCCTCACTCCAGGCTCCAAGGGCCCTTCCTTTGCCTATCTTATTTCCTAACCCATTTCTTCTAGGAATTACTTTTCTACCCCTCTGATTAACCAAATAAATGTTCTCTTATTTAAAAAATTCTGGTTTTAGTCATTTGTAGCTGTGACCTAGGTAGTAAACTGTTCTACCTCTTTGAGATGCAGCTTATTGTTTGTAAGTGGGAATAATATCAACTGTGGGTGTCGTTAGGCTTAGAGGTGACGTGTCAAGCCCGAGCTTGGTGTTTGCTGCTGCAGCTGCCTGTCTTTCTTCGCACAGAGCCCAAGGCCGCGGAAGAGGAAGAGAGTGGCTTCAGCTCGCCACTGATGCTCTGGCTCCAGCACGAGCAGAAGCGGAAGGAGAGCATCGCCGAGAAGAGGCCCAAGAAAGGGCTTGTGTTTGAAATTTCGAGTGACGACGGCTTTCAGATCTGTGCAGAGAGTATCGAAGGCGAGTGGGTTGACTGGCGCGGGCCCGCAGCAGGGTCCTGCCGTTGCTGCTGCATCCGCGCTTCATGCGCAGTGGCACCGCTGGGGGCAGTCCGCGCCCGCTGCTGTGGGAGACGTTTGGAGGTGTACATTTAACTGGGCCTTGAGAAGTTAGTGTTCTTGAGAAAGGGTCCCTAATTTATGTGAAAAGCTAGTGATGCAGATGATGTGGGTGAGATTACACACACCCTAGCCCAGCACACGAGACCTGCTTCTCTCTCGCTGTGCCTCCTACCATTTCCTGCACACCTTAAATGCCCTCCTCTCTCACCTCTGTGCCTCCTACATTCCCTCCCTCTGGAATGCTTTTCCTACCCTTGTTCACCTTCTGAACTTCAGCTCACCCTTCAAGACCAGCTCGGAAAGTCTTCTCTAATCTTCTGAGGCAGATAAGCAGCCCTACTCCCTCCTTTCTGCCCCTTTTAGATTGTTACATGTTTCTCTCTTATGGCTTAAAATTTGTCTATAAATGTTTGTTTACTTTTATGTTTTACTCAACAGGGAACTTTCCATAAGGGCTTGAATTTTATTTTCTTGTTTATTTTTGTACCCCAAGCATGTAGGTGTTCATTAGCTGTTGAAGGGACTAGTGAATGTTCTGTAGGTGGTAGGTACTAGAGGAGTTTGAAGGAAAGAAACGTCACTGGGTCAGCCAGAGTTATCCAAAAAACCATGAAAATTAATAGTATACAAGATTCTTTAAGGGAGATAACAAAATTTGATATGATACAAAGGGTAGGAGAGGGATTTCTAAGAAGGGATGTAAGCAAAGTTAGCGAGACGGGATTGCATTTGGTGGATTTAGAGAAGGGTCAGGTGGGAAATGATGTTGAAATCCCTGTCAGGTAGAAGCGAAAGAGAAAATTGGGAAGGTGGATTGGGCACTGGTTTTGGGGAGCCTTCAGTACCAAGCTGTGAGGCCTTTGAAAATTTGGGAGAGTGGAATAAACGCATAATGTGGTAGCTTCATATAAGAGCTGGAGACACTAGAAGGCAAGAGGTCACTAACGAGAGTGTTGCTTCAATGCGATGCCAGGTAATAAGCCCATTTCCAGTAGGAGAAGAAAGGAAAGAGTGAGGCCACGCTTAGCGACTGCGTGGGTACGGAGAGCAGGCGTCAAAGACGAGGGAAGAGTCACGCCTGAGGGACGAAGAGAACTGTTAGGAGAACTAGTATGAGTCTGTGAAATCCACATATGGATTTCTTACCACTATTCCATACTCACTCCTGGGACAGTAAGACATCATAGGATCTTAGGTTAGAGCTGGGAGGGGCTGCAAGGGCTTCTCATTACACCCGTCACTGTAAGGACCCGAGAAGTTCTGATCTCCCCACGGTCTTGGTTAAATTGTTAATGCTAGTATTGCATTGGTGAAGGGTACAGGGAATAGCATTAATACCAAACGTTAAGGTTTGGGATACAGATTGCCACTGCGGGATGCGAATGCTGTGGGGATCAGGGTCATATTCAGAAGGTGTGCATGCCCTTTCAGCTTGCGTGTCCTTCCTCTAGGGGGCAACACGTCTAAATAGTGACCTCAGCTTCTCTTATGCGTGAACTGATTTAAACTAGCAAAACAAAACACTGTTGTGGCAGGGTGTTTCATGCTGCAGAGTCCTAAGCACAGTGCTATGCACCACTGGTGTTGGGTGTTTGCTTGAATATTTTATTTTCTCACAGATGCCTGGAAGTCGTTGACAGATAAAGTCCAGGAAGCCCGATCAAATGCCCGCCTAAAGCAGCTCTCATTTGCAGGTAATGGCTAGAGTGGTCCTTTTACTCCTGTCTCAGAATGTTCTGGTACCTTGTTGGTCTATGTTACAGAGTTGATTCTACAAAAAAAAAACACCACAAAAAACATCATTCTTTCTTTAAATATAATTCTCATACTATACAGGTCACCTGTTTAAAGCATACAGTTCAATGGCTTTTAGTATGTTCACAAAGTTAAGCAGCCGTCATTTCCTTATAATTCCAAAACACCTTCATTATTGCCGCAAGAAACTTCGCACACCCATCCACAGTCCCTCCTCAGCCCCAACCCCGGGCAGCCGCGGGCCTACTTGCTGTGTCTATGGCTTTCCTGTGGTTTCACACAGATGGAATCACACAGCATGTGGCCTCTGTGACTGGCTTCTTTCATATGGTGCCTTCCAGATTTCTCTCTCTTGTAACATTGCATCAGCACTCTTTTTTTTAAACAAATGACACATAAAATTTACCATCTTACCATTTTTAAGTATACAAATTCAGTGGTGTTAAATACATTCACATTGTTGTGCAACCATCACCACCCATAATTCTTTTTTTTTTTAATTTATCTTTATTGTTGAAAGTACTACAGGTGTCCTACTTTTCCCCCCAGTTGATCCCCTCTGCCTCGCTCCCACCCCCTCCCCAGGCCTTCACCCCATTATTGACTGTCCATGGGTTATACATGTATGCATATAACTTCTTTGGTTAATCTCTCCCCACCCTTCTCCCCNNTGACCTTCAATTCTAAATGACAGCTTTGCTGGGTAGAGTAATCTTGGTTGTAGTTCCATGTTTTTCATCACTTTGAATATTTCTTGCCACTCCCGTCTAGCCTGCAAGGTTTCTGTTGAGAAATCAGCTGACAGTCTTATGGGTGCTCCCTTGTAGGTAACTAATTGCTTTTCTCTTGCTGCTTTTAAGATTCTCTGTCTTTAACATTTGGTATTTTAATTATGATGTGTCTTGCTGTGGGCCTCTTTGGGTTCCTCTGTGCTTCCTGGACTTGTAAGTCTGTTTCTTTTCCCAGGTAGAAGAAGTTTTCTGTAATTATTTTTTCAAATAGGTTTTCGATTCCTTGCTCTCTTTCTTCTCCTTCTGGTACCCCAATAATATGAATGTTGGGCCTCTTGAAGTTGAGCCAGAGGCTCCTTATACTATCTTCATATTTCTGGATTCTTTTTTCTTTTTGCTCTTCTGGTTGGGTGTTTTTTGTTTCCTCATGTTCCAAATTGCTGATTTGATTCCAGCATCCTCTACTGTACTATTGATTCCCTGTAAATTATTCTTCATTTCAGTTCGTGTAGCCTTCATTTTTTAATAGGTATTTTATTAGGTCATTGATGGTCTCACTTGTTATCAAAATACTTTTGCTAATATTCTTGAGCATCCTTATAACCAAAATTTTGAACTCTGTATCTTTTAGCTTGCTTGGCTCTATTTCATTTAGTTCCTTTATGGAGATTTCTTCTGTTCTTTCCTTTATGACATGTTTCTTTGCCTCTGCATTTTGGCTGCTTCCAGGTGTTTGTTTCTATGTATTGGGTAGAGCTGCTGTGTCTCCTGGAATTGGTAGAGTGGCTGTGTAGTAGGTGTCCTGTAGGGTCCAGTGACTCAGCCTCAGTCCCCTGAGCTGTGCCTTCTTGGTGCTCCCCTGTGTGGGCTGTGTGCACTGTCCTGCTGTAGTTGAGCTTTGGTTGCTGTTGGCGTCACTGGGAGGAATTGTCCCCCAGGCCAATCAGCTGTGAGGACCAGCTGCAACTACAGCCAGAGAGCTGCTGTGCTGGAGACACCCCTATGGAGCAGGATTTACTTCAGTGGGGTTTTGGTGTTCACCAAGTGTGCCCCTTGAGTGTGTCACTCGTGGATGTGGTAGGGTTGTAATCCAGCGTGGTCGAGTCTGACCACCGGGTACACAGTCTCTGGGGCCTCCCAGGAGGTACAAAGTCAGCCTCTGCCAATGCCCTGCCCAGGGCCACCCAGCATGAGCAACACAGCAAACTGTAGTTGGCTGCTACTTGTGCTGGGCTTGGAGGTGCCCAGGAGAGGCCAAACTATGAACCAATGCAGGCTGCCACTAGTGCCAGACCTGGGGCCACTTATCAAGCTGTATGGGGCCCGCTGCTGCGTGTTTGAGAGATTTTAGGAAAGTCCTAAGCATAAGGCTCAAGAGGCCACTTGCACAGAAAAGCCCCTGGAAATGGCCTGGATGAGCTTGCAGGTGGGGAGGGGCGGGGCCAGAGGTGTGAGTCAGGTGCTGGTGGTTCAAATATGGGGCCTGCCTGCTGGCTGTGTGCAGGGAGGGCTTGCCAAAGGAGCAACGGCTTCTGCCAGCTCTTCTGTCAGGAGAAAGCCACCGTCCACCTCTCACCCTAATTTCAGGCAGGTTAGTTCCTCCCCAAGTGTCCCAGGTTCCATTCAAGCTGTTGCCCTGAGCTGGGCTCAGAGGGAGCGCTTCTAAGTGAGTACATGCTCCGGCCCTTTAAGAGGAGCTGCGTGGGACTCCCGCACCCTCAGTGACAGTCCCCGCTGGTTTTCACAGCCCGAAGTTGTGGGAATTTTCTCTTCCTGGCCCCTGGGCTGGGGGCCTGCTGTGGGGCTGGAACCCCTCCCTCCTCCGGGAAATCTCCACCACCAAGATGTCCCTCCCGGGTTTAACCCGTGGCACTGGGTGGGGCCCGCGGCCGAGTCTCCAGGATTCAGCCCGGATCCACACGCGTCTCCGCCACTCCTACCAGTCTCGGTGCTTCAGTTCCCTGGTTGTAGGGCTTCTGTTCAGCCAGATTTCAGGAGGCTCTGAGTGATGGTGGTTCTGTAGTTGTAATTTTGATGTGGTTGTGGGAGGTGGCGGGTACAGCGCTTACCTGCGCTGCCATCTTGTTTCCTCCTCTCACTACCCATAACTCTTCATCTCGTGAGACTGGAACTATACCCATTAGACAGTAACTTCATCCGCACCCTGGTCCCGGCAACCATTACCCTTTTTGTCTTTGTGAGTTGGACTACTCTAAGCCCCTCATAATCATGCCGCCTGTGACTGGCTTATTTCACTTAGCATATGTTCTCAGGGTTCATCCATGTTATGGCATGTTGCAGGATTTCCTTTCTTTTTTAAGCCTGAATAATGTTTTACTGTGTGTGTATTTCACGGTTTTCTTACTTATTGATCATTGACGGGCACTTGAGTCCCTCTTTGTCTTAGCTACTGTAAGTAATTCTGTTGCAAACATGGGTGTACAGATGTCTCTTTGAGACCTTTCATTCTTTTGGGGGCGTGTACCCAAAAGTGGGACTGCTGGGCATATAGTAGTTCTGTTTTTAAGTTTGTGAGGAATCATCATGCTGTTTTCTATAGCAGCTGTACCATTTTACATTCCCACACAGTGCACAAGGGTTTCAGTCTCTCCCTATTCTCTCCAACACTTGTTTTCTGTTTGATAGTGGCCATCCATAGAGGTATAAGGTGGTATCTCATAGTTTTTTATTAATATCCCAAGTGATTTGTGATGTTAAACATCTTTTCCTGTGCTTGTTGGTCATCTGTATGTCTTCTTGGGAGAAATGTCTGTTCAAGTGCTTGCCTATTTTTTAATTGGGTTGTTTGTTTTTTTCATTGTTGAGTTTCAGAAGTTCTCTATACCGGGTGTGGCAGAAATAGGTTTATAGTTGTGAGTACACGAAACAGTTTATTCTTGTATTATTATTTTTAAATTATTGTATTATTTTCCATATGAACAACTGTAAATCTGCTTTTGCTCCACCCTATACATTCTGGATATTAATCCCGTATCAGATATATGATTTGCAAATATTTTCTCCCATTCTGTGGGCTCTTTACTTTATGGATAGCATCTCCTCCCCCTTTTTTTTCAGGTTGGTGAGGGAGATATTTTGGGGGCAAGAAAATATGGTTCATAAGTTCTGCTCTGACCTACTGTGGTTGTCATTGGATAAACTGTGGTTATTGGCAACATGTAAAATTCTCCTAGAGGATTTGCCTCCATGTTCTCAGCCTCAAAGTGAATAGCCTCACCCTTCCTTTTTCCAATGGCACAAAGATTTCTTTGGTTTATCCATATCTTTTACTGCAATAGGCAATGGTAAGAAACCGTGAGCTCTGGAGGCAGGTACAACTGAGTTCAAGCTCTGTTTCTGCCCTGTTGCTATCTGTATTACATTGGATGCAGCTAACTAACTTCTCTGAGTCTGGATCTCCTTATCTACGAAGTGATAATATTAATGCAACTTTCAGTATTTGTTGTGAGGGTTAATTAAAATAATGAACCTGATATTATTGGCAGCTGTTCATTTATATATAGCTATGTATTTATATATCCTAATATACCTAATATGCCCAATTAAGACCATTATCCTGTCTGAAGGGATTTGAGACAGAATTCAGAGAAATTACTGGATACTAGCATTTTTTTGATAGTGTCTTTTGATACACAAAATCTTTTAGTTATCATGAAGTCCAGTTTGTCTGTTTTTTCTTTTGTTATCTGTGCCTTCGATGTCATAGCCAAGAAATCATGCCAAATCCAGTGTTAGGAAATTTTGTTCTATGTTTTCTTCTAAGAATTTGTTTTAGGTCTTACGTTCAGGTCCTTGATTTATTTTGAGTTACTTTTATATATGGTGCTTCATTCTTTTGCATGTGGATATCTAGTTCTCCCAGCACCATATGTGGAAAAGACTGTCTTTTCCCCATTGAATGGTCTTTGCATCCTTGGCAAAAACCATTTGACCAAATATTGAGGGTTTATTACTGGACCCTCTATTCTGTTCCATTGGTCTACGTGGCTGTCTTTATGCCGTTATCGCATTGTTTTGATTACTGTAGCTTTGTTGTCAGTATTGATATCAGGAAGTATGCACCCTTCAGTTTTGTTCTTTTTCAGGATTGTTTTGGCTATTTGAAATTCCATATGAATTTCAGGAAGGACTTTTATATTTCTGCAAAAAAATATCATTGGGATTTTGGTAGGTATTGCATTGAATCTGTAGATCACTTTGGGTACCATTAACGTCTTAATATTAAGTCTTCTGATCCATGAACATGGGATGTATTTCTATTTACTTGTATCTTTTTATTTTTATTTCTTCTTATTTTTTTAATATATCTTTATTGATTTCACAGAAAGAATGGAGAGAGAGAGAGAGAGATAGAAACATCAGTGATGAGAGAGTCATCATTGATCGCTGCCTCTTGCACATCCTCGACTGGGGATCGAGCCCGCAACCCCAGCATGTACTCTGACCGGGAATCGAACCTTGATCTCCTGGATCCTAGGTCGATGCTCAACCGCCGAGCCACGCCTGGCCGGCTACTTCTATCTTTTTAAAATTTCTTTCAGCAGCGTTTGTAGTTTTCCTTGTGCAGGTCTTTCACCGCCTTGATTAAGTTAAACCTTAAGTATTTTTCACTTTGTGGTGCTGTTATAAATGAAATTTTTTTTTAAATTTCCTTTTCAGATTATTCGTTATTCGTATGTAGAAATGCAGCTGATTTCTATGTGTTGACTTTATACCCTACTACATTGCTGAACTTATTACTTGTCCTAACAGTTATTTTGTGGAATCTTTAGCCTTTTTTACATATAAGGTAATATCTGCAAACAGATAATCTTGCTTCTTCCTTTCTAATTTTGGTGCCTTTTATTTACTTTTGTTACCTCATTGCTCCCCTAGAACTTCTGGCACTATGTTGAATAGAAGTGGTAAAAGCAGGCATCCTTGCCTCCTTCGTGACCTTAGAGGAAAATCTTTCAGTCTTTCACCATTGAGTCTGGTATTTGCTGTGGGTTTTTCATACATGGCTTGTATTAGTATTTTGTTCCTCTATATTGCCAAATAGTATTCCATTATGTGATCTCCCACATGTGTTTTATTCATTCATCAACTAATGGACATTTGGGTTTTTTCTACCTTCTGACTATGATGAATAATATTGCCATGAATATTCATGTACAAGTTTTTGTGTAGGCATATTTTTATTTCTCTTGGGTGTATAACTAGAAGTGGAATAGGTGGGTCATATGGTAACTCTATTTAACTTTTTGAGAAACTGCCAAATTTTTTTCCAGAGTAGCTGCACCATTTTACATTTCTACCAACAATGTACAATGGTTCCAGTGTCCCATCCTTGCCAACACTTGTTGTCTGTCTTTTTTTTTAAAATATGTTTTTATTGATTTCGAAGAGAGGAAGGGAGAGGGAAAGAGAGAGAAACATCAGTTGGCTGCCTCCTGCTAGGGATCAAGCCTAAAACCCAGGTATGTGCCCTGGCTGGGAATCGAACCAGCGACCTCTTGGCTTATGGGACGACACTCAACCACTGAGCAACAGCAGCCGGGATGTCTGTTTTTTTTATTATAGACATCTTAGTGAGTGTGAAATGCTATCTCATTGTGGTTTTGTTATACCTTTTTAAAGTTGAAAGTTTCTCATTGCTATTAGACTTCAAATTAAATTTAGTGTAAAAACGGTTGTTTCAAGTGAACATTAAAGATTTAAATTAATCCATTGACTCTGTGTTTTGCATAACTACCTCTCTAATCTCCTTTCAGATTGGTTGTAGGAAGGGAAGTGAATGAGTACTTAGAGGAATTTAACCTTTATCTATGTAAATGTTTTTGTTTTGAGAGAAAAGGGAGGGCCCTGGCCAGTTTGGCTCAGTAGTTAAAGTGTTGGCCCACAGACCAAAGGGTTGCCAGTTTGATTCCCGGTCAAGGGTACGTACGTGGGCTGCAAGCTGGTTCCCCAGCCCCGATCAGGGTGTGCACAGGACACAACCAGTCGATGTGCTTCTCTCACATCGATGTGTCTCTCTCCCTCTCTCCCCCCCTTCCACTCCTTCTGAAAAGCAATGGAAAAAATATCCTCGGGTGAGGATTCACAAAAGTAAAAATGAAAAAGCTAGACAGGGTCTGCCACCCAGAAGTAACTCTTATTGACATTTAAACATGGACACCCTTCCAGATGTCACATGTGGTCCCCGAATTACACTGAGATTACCTCTTTGGATGCTCTTCATAGCAAACTGTTGAAATTTCATGGGTGATCCCAGCAGTTAGGTGTATGAACTACACACCTGTCTACAACAGACACCATTGTTGTTTCAATAGCTATTAATAAGACTGCAAACAATATTTGTAAATGAAATAATACGGTTTACTTAATAAAAACATGAAGAACAACAGCTCTTTGTTCCTTTCAGAGAGTGGCCCCATCCCTCTAATGAAAGAACCAGATCCTTTTAGGAATCCTGTCCCTGTGGTGCCGGCCAACTTACAGTGTTTTGTAGGATGAAGAAACGAAGCGGCTGTGGAGGGTGCTGCTCCACACCCTCTCTAACGGCACAGAGAGGCCTGCTGGCGCGTAGATCCTAGTGAGGCCTGTGTGCGGTGAGCTTGCAGACCCAGGCCCCATCCCTGTGACGGGCAGCCCAGCTGGAGTGACCCGGTCCAGGGGTCAGAGTTTGTCATGCTAGCTACATGACCTAGGGTGTGGTATTTAAATTCTCTGAGCCTAGGTTTACTTACCTTAAGACGAAGCTAGTAATTCCTGCCCCGTATGGTCATTACGACCATAAAATGAAGTAATGCACATGGCAGTTTTACATACATACTTCGGTAGCTTGCTATTTTCACTTTATCTGTCACAGAAGTTTTCCATATGAATAGATCTCTGTCTGCATAATTTTATTTAAAAATGTTTTATTGATTTTTTTTTTTTTTTTTAATCCTCACCCAAGGATGTTTTTCCCATTGCTTTTCAAAGAGCAGAAGGGGAGAGAGGCATCAGTGTGAGAGACATTAATCCTTGCCCCCTGCACGCTTCCCGACCACGCCCGGGGATCGAGCCTGCAACCGAGGCCCATGCCCTTGGCCAGACTTGAACCCAGGACCCTTCAGTCCACAGGCCAACCCCCTAACCACTGAGCCAGTCCAGCTAGGACTGTTTTATTGATTTTAGAGAGAGGAGGGGAGAGAGAGAGACCAGTCAGCTGCCTCCTGCACACCCCGTACTGGGGATCGAGCCCAAAACCTGGGCACGCACCCTGACTGGGAACCTGAGACCTCTCGGTGCATGGGATGGTGCCCAACCGGCTGAACCACGCCGGCAGGCTATATCCACATCATTCTAATGGCTATCTAATGCAGATTTCTGGCTGGTCTTTAATTCACCCTGAGCAGCCTCCAGCAGTTTCCTGCTTGCTGCACTCCTCACAACCCTGTGCCTTTGATCCTGCAGGTGTGAATGGTTTGAGGATGCTGGGGATTCTCCATGATGCGGTTGTGTTCCTGATTGAGCAGCTGTCAGGTGCCAAGCACTGTAGGAATTACAAATTCCGTTTCCACAAGCCAGAGGAGGCCAATGAACCGCCCTTGAACCCTCATGGCTCAGCCAGGGCTGAAGTCCACCTGAGGCAAGTTCCATTCTTTTCTGTAAGCAGTTTTGGGTCCCAATTTATTATTTAATGATATAATTATTTTCTCACATAACCTTTGAGATTTCCAGTGTTTGTGCCGTCCTTTATTGCTTCTAAAGCATTTCTCTAAATATATTCTAATCCTTTGGCTCCAGGAAGTCAGCATTTGACATGTTTAATTTCCTGGCTTCCAAACATCGGCAGCCTCCTGAATACAACCCCAATGATGAGGAAGAGGAGGAGGTCCAGCTGAAGTCAGCGCGGTGAGTCTTGACGGAGTCATTGGAAACACTCTTTGCTTCCCTCTACTCAGCTCCTTGAGGTGCTGTGCAGTTCTGCTCAGATCAGAATTTCTGGGTGGCATTTAAGAAGACTGAGGTATAGTTTGTGTTGCAGTAGCAGTGGCTGACTGGCAAAAAGAGAGTGTGTTAGAGAGGAGAAGTTCAAGTAACTATGAGAGGTCTCTTTTCCTTTTTGACCAGTGTACTCTGTTGGCTCTGGCTGTACCCCTGCAGTCATCCTGGTCAGAAAGTGCTATATTTCTCAGAAGAAAACAGGCCTAGTTTTATAAGGTACTTGTTACGCTTGGCATTGAGCAGAGAATAGTGTAGTCATATTCTCTAGGAACCTTCGCTCTGAGGCTCAGAACTGATTATTTTCCGAATAGAATTCGTTAATTATGTGCCTCATCTCTTTAGGAGGGCAACTAGTATGGACCTGCCAATGCCCATGCGTTTCCGGCACTTAAAGAAGACTTCTAAGGAGGCTGTTGGTGTCTATAGGTATGGCTCAGATTCTAAAGAGAATTATAGAAAACTAATGAAATTTTCCAAAATCAAAACGGACCCAATACTGGAATGATGGGCCCTCATTCAGTAAGTTGGGTTTTGTGGGTAGCATTCCTTGAACCTGATGTCCTGGATCCTATGGTCCTTGCGTTGAACCACGCATTTAACACTAAACCTTTACAGTGCTGCTATTTCTCGTGGGCCACAAAATGGAGAAATTTTTAATGCTTGTCCATTTGTTAGAACAGTTAATGTACTCAAATCGGGTGGGTCCAGATTCCTTTTTTTTCTTCAACTGTCTGTCCCTCTTCGGGGGCTAACAGGCCAGGGGTTTTATTCATGTATTGACACAGTTAACTTTATTACAGCATTTGTGGCTGATCTGCTGTCTATCTTTATGTCCTAGGTCTCCCATCCATGGTCGGGGTCTTTTCTGTAAGAGAAACATTGATGCAGGTGAGATGGTGATCGAGTATGCTGGCAATGTCATCCGCTCCATCCAGACTGACAAGAGAGAGAAGTATTATGACAGCAAGGTGAGTCTCACACTTTCACTCTCCTGTTCTTTTGTTTTATTATAGAAAGTGGACACCAATTACAAATATCTCTAGATCAAAAAATAAATTGTATTGCCCTTGCCAGTGTGGCTCAGTTGGTTGGGTGTTGTCCCATGCACTGTAAGGTTGCCGGTTCAGTTCCCAGTCAGGGCACATGCCCAGGTTGCAGGTTTGATCCCCAGTAGGGGGTGTGCGGGAGGCAGCCGATCAATGACTCTCTCATCATTGATGTTTCTATCTCTCCCTCTCCCTTCTTTTCTCTGAAATCAATAAAAACATTTTTTAAAAATCTTTTTAAAAAATAGTATTTTATTGAGTCAAAGACACTTTTGTTTTCAACATTTTAACATCCTCTGAAATTTGTGGTGGGCCCAGTAAAAGTTCATAATCTATTCTAAGGATTAGTACACAGAGTACTCCTTGAAAGTATATCCGAATGGATCTCAGAGTCAAAAGCACATAGCAACACAATTCTCAGGTTCTCTTTCCTGCGGAGACATTAGGCCTATGCCTGGCCAGACGGCTCGCTTGAAGCATGGTCCTGAGCACCAAAATGTTGCAGCTTTGATCCCAACCGGGGTGCATATGGGAGGCAACCCATTGGTGTTTCTGTCTCACATCTATGTTTCTTTCTATCTATCTTCCCCTTCCTTTCTCTCTAAAATCAGTAAGAAATATCCTTGGATGAGGGTTTAAAAAAAGAGAGAAAAAAGAAACCAGTAGTCTAGTGCCCATAAACTAAAAATTCATCTTGGAAGCATCTTGAGAGATGGGAGAAATCTGGAAATTTTACTGAGAGAAATGTTGTTCATCAGTGGCTATGAGTCACATCAGAAAAAGGTTGGGAAGTGTTCTCATCTGAGCTGTAATAAATAACAGGTCCTCCATTCTCCTCCTCATGTAGGGCATAGGCTGCTACATGTTTCGCATTGATGACTCTGAGGTGGTGGATGCCACCATGCATGGGAACGCTGCGCGCTTCATCAACCACTCCTGTGAGCCTAACTGCTACTCCCGGGTCATCAATATTGATGGACAGAAGCACATTGTCATCTTCGCCATGCGCAAGATCTACCGAGGGGAGGAGCTCACTTACGACTACAAGTTCCCCATTGAGGACGCCAGCAACAAGCTGCCCTGCAACTGTGGCGCCAAGAAATGCCGGAAGTTCCTAAACTGAAGCTGCTTTACCTCCGGTGTTGGAGTGCCAGGAGCCAGCCACCCAGAGCAGTCTGAGGCCTTGCAGCAGCTGGTTCAGGATTGAGTGGGCACAGTTGAGGGGCCTCCGTGATGGCTGAGCGCCCTTGTGTGTCCCGTATTCACATTGTACGTGTGATCATGGTCCTGGGGAGAGATGAGGTCTCAGAGAAAAGATCCGCAATCTGCCTTCTGCTGGGGCCCCTCTGGTGATACGCCTTTGAGATGTGGGGAAAGGGATCCCTAGTAGACTTGCCTGGAAGGAGCTATGGGTTAGTTACGTTGGGAGGTTGGCCTGAGCATCTCCTCAGAGAGAGGTTGCCATCCTCTCCTTGGCCCTTTCTCAAGCACTGTAGCAAGGGGTCAGGCAACGCCCCAGGTGTGGGGTTGTTTGGGTCCCTGGCTGTTTGCCAGCCGGGCCCAGCCCGTAGCCATCTGTTGAACAAACAGAAGGTCTGGTGGTTTCCCTGCTATCTTCCCACCTGAGCATTCACTTCTGGTTGGGAAACAAGATTCTTAGCACCTTTGGTGTCAAAAGGCTGTCTTGGGGTTGTGCCAATTACCAGACATGGAGCCTGTGGGCTTTAAGTGGGAGTATTAACCCCATGAGCCTTATCTCAGCCAATCACCTTGACAGTAGGCGCAGCTTCCTTCTCATTCCTTCTCTTCCCTCTACTTTTGTCCTTCCTGTTCTGCATCCCACTGCTTTCCGTTCTCTCTGGTGGCAGGAGCCAGTGCCTCCCTGCTCAAGGACTCCCTGTTGGGCATGCTGTGTGCGCCTGTGAGGACGCGCCCTGAGCCTGGAAGCACTCCCAGTGGGCAAGTGGGCAGGAGCCATTGGCCATAACCAGACAGAATTAGGAGTTTCCTCAAAGCTCCACTGAGAGTTTTGAAGAAATATCTGTAGCCTGGTGTTTTAGAAGAGGAAAAGGTTATTTAAATAGTTGAATCATGCAACAGCCAGAGCGTCACACCCAGGACGACCTCTGGGCCCCATTCCCGGGACATGGTGACTTTATTTTCTCGTTGCTAAGACATAGGAAGACTTAACATTTAAATGGTCGATGTCCAGTTGAAGGCACAACACTAATCAGATTTCAAGGCCCAAAACTTGGGGACTGACCACCTTGCATTGAGGAAACTCGCCACCTGTGCAGAATCCACGGATAAAGTGAATCAAATGACACTACTGCCCTGATCACCCTTAGGATGTGGCCACACAGCAGCAACTGTTTCTCTCCCTCCCCCAGACAGTGTCCGGAACCTATTAAATTAAGTCATCGGATTTTACTCTGTTCTGTTTACAGTTTACTATTTAAGGTTTTATAAATGTAAATATATTTTGTATATTTTTCTATGAGAAGCACTTCATAGGGAGAAGCACTTATGACAAGGCTATTTTTTAAACTGCGGTATTATCCTAATTTAAAAGAAGATCGGTTTTAAATAAGTTTTTATTTTCATAGGATGAAGTTAAAGAAAATATTCAGCTGTACATGCAAAGTCTGGTTTTTCCTGCCCAACTTCCCCTGGGAGGTGTGCTTTTTGTTGTTTAATGTGCAGTTTGTTTGTGCCCTGTTGACATAAACGTTTCCTGGGTTTGCTCTTTGACAATAAATGGAAAAGGAAGGTCACCCCGCTCCTTTGGGCCACTCCTCTCTCCGCACTGTCCTTCCTGGCCTGGCGCAGAGTGGTCAGAGGCGGTGATCTACTTTCCTCATCTTTCCCACTTCAGAGTTAGCAACCAAGTGGAATGCACCCCGACATTCCCGACACGTCTGCCTCGGAGACCACCTCGTTCCCTGCCCCGCCCACCACGCCCTGGTACCTGCAGATGACCCACAGGCCCCATGCCCTCTTCTGGGGCAGCCCGTTGAAACTGAAGCACAGTCTGACCACTCTCGATAAAGCAGGTTTTCCTCGGCGTCAGCCACAAGGTTTCGGAGCAGTGGAGGCGGGAGGGCGCGGCCTCCACGCAGGACGCCCACTCCCACGGAAGCCTAGCCAAGCAACAGGGCGCGGCGCGCCGCTCCCGGCTCATGGGCCTGCTGTGCCTTCCACCCTGGGCTCCCTGTTCTTCCGTGACCTTAAGGACTTTGTTGGGCGGCTTTGCTGGGACACTGTCACTGTTCCACTGTCACGCAGGGAGCCCAGCACTGTGGCCAGGATGGCAGGCTTCCTTGCTGTTCTGGAGAAGTGCCAGCAGGGGCTGGGGAAAGCACTACCCAGACCTCACCTCCCTCCTCTTGCCCACGAACAAGACACAGTGGCCCCAGGGGTCCCACTATTGTCTGGTTTCCTTTATTATTGCACTGTGTGAGGTTTTTTGTAAATCCTTTAATTCCTTTTTTTTTTTTTTTTTAAGGAAAAAACCTTAAGCTGCATTTGTTACTGAAATGATTAATGCACTGATGGGTCATGACTTCACCTTGAGAAAGACCCAAAGGCCAGTCTGGGGTGGGGGACTCAGCTGAACAGACCTGGTTACTGCCCTGCTAGGCCTCGCTGTACTGTGAGCCCCTCCTCGCTCTCCATCAGTCCCAAGCCCCGAGCCAGGGGGAGCCCGCACCTTTCCCTCGGGCTGCAGCTGGTTTGCCTTGCCTTTCCCCTCCCCATTATAACCACAGAAACGAATTCCACCGACAGCTCAGCCTTGAGTTCATTGCCAAAATTCAGCATACCTGCCAGCAACTTGGGGAATGAGCTAAGAAGGCAAAAGATGGGATAGCTATCTTCAAAATGACCGAATTTGTTTTGAAAGTGAGCTAAGGAATCTCCACACGAAAGTGCAGACTGAGGTACTGTGGTGGGTCATTCCTAAGAATCCCCCAAGGGGCACCCCAATCCCTAAGGAGTCACAGGCTGCAAACCTGGCCAGTTCTCAGTGAGAACCAGCTCCCTTACAGCTTTGCTGCTAGAACCTGTTGTGGCTGCATTTCCTGGTGGCCAGTGACAGCTGTGTCACCAGAATAGCTGCATGGCGCCGACCCTTTGGCCGGAACTCGGTCCCTTGGTCCCTCTGTTACTGTCCTCCACCTCCAGCACAACCCCTCCTTGTTTTTAGACCAATAAGAATTAAGGGGGAAGCCCTGGCAGCTATATATGTTTTCGACCAGACTCCTTTGCTGGGATCCAGTCCACCACCCTGCTTGCCTCTGTCCAACCCCCCGGCCAATGCAGCGAGCACCATGCAGCTCCCTTGATTTCAAAAAAAACAAACAAAAATCTTCTAATGAATGTATCTTTCTAAAGGACTGACGTTCAATCAAATATCCGAAAATACTAAAGGTCAGAACCTTGTCAGATGATAACTTGTTTGATTTGGGATATTTAAATAGAAATCAATTTTTTTTCTTTTTAAGGAAAAGCGGGTCATTGCAAAGGGCTGGGTGTAATTTTGTTTCATTTCCTTCATTTTAAAGCAATACAAGGTTATAGAACAGATGGTTTTATGCTGAATCATGAATACCAGTCAAGTCTCACACTCGGGAAACTTGCAACTTTTGTGTTTTGGTTTTCAATATAAATATGCTATATATAGGAACTAATATAGTAATGCACCATGTAACAAGCCTAGTGCAGCCCACGGCTTTTAACTCTCAACACTATAGGTAAGGGTTGTGTTACAGTTGCTCGTAGTGGCAGGAAAATGTTGGCCTGGCGCTTCTCTGATCCTCCAAAGTGGGGAGAAACCCAAACCACAATGGGGGTGGTAGAAACAGCCCATCCCAGGGGTCAGAAAGATGCAGAAATGGTGTCACCTGGATCTGCCCTGCCAGTGAGTGTTGCCAGGCAGTACCTGTACCCCTTGTTTTTTCATTTTGGTTATGAATGTTGGGGTTACCACCTGCTTTTAGGGGAAATTGTGTTCTGTGCTCTCCTGGTATCTTGTTCCGAGGTACTCTAGTTCTGTCTTTCAACCAAGAAAATAGACTTGTGGTGTTTCTTTTCTTGAACTTTTAACAGTCTCTTTAGTAAATACAGTAGTTGAATAATTGTTTCAAAAGCTCAACAGATGACAAGCTTCTTTTCTAGAAATAAGACACTTCTTGACAACTTTATCATGTATAACAGATCTTTTGGTTTTTTCCCTTGTGTTCTTCCAAGCTTCTGGTTAGAGAAATAGAGAAAAAATTTTAAAAAGGAAAAAATGTGTCTAAAGTCCATCAGTGTTAACTCCCTGTGACAGGGATGAAGGAAAATAACTTTAATAGTTCAAAAAATAATAATGCTGAAAGCTCTCTACGAAAGACTGAATGTAAAAGTAAAAAGTGTACATAGTTGTAAAAAAAAAAGGAGTTTTTAAACATGTTTATTTTCTATGCACTTTTTTTTATTTAAGTGATAGTTTAATTAATAAACATGTCAAGTTTATCGCTGCACTTGGTGGAGCTTTCTTTGGGCTCTGGCTGGGTGGAGAAGTGGGGGGAGGGGCACAGTACCTTCACGGGCCTTTTTAAAGGTGGAATCATTAAATCATTCCTCATTGCCTTCCACACTGGCTCTCTTAACAGTATTTTCTTTCCTTATCAATGATGTCCACTCAGGAGCTAATTCTGGGTTTGAAGAGGGGCTCACCATAACGAAGTAGTTCCTTTACTGCCCACATACCACCCCTCATCCGTGGGTGGTCAAGCACTGGCTTCTAGCGATTTTCTCCCTGAGTTTCTAATCGGAATATAAAAAAGCATTTAAGGGAGACCTGGACAGCACAGGCTCTTTGCTCTACTCCACTTTAAGGCTGAAATTGGGTTTATTTACTGTTTCTCCTAGGACTGGGGTGCTGGTGGGGAGGCAGTTGAGAAATACCTGTAAATGTTTTGCCAAGCCAAGGTCATGAACCTGCGGCCAAAGGAGGCCCAGTTTACACTATAACCCAAAGAATGGAAGACACTCCTTCATGGGGGATGGTCCTCAAACCTCCCTCTAAATCAACTGGCTGCAAAGCTCAGTTCAGCCCCCAACCACCTTTTCTGGACTTTCAGAGTTGAGCACCATGGGGACTCTAAATGATCAGGCAGTTTTACAGGCCATCTTCAACCCTGACACCCCATTTGGAGACGTGGTTGGATTGGACCTGGGAGAGGAAGCTGAGAAAGAAGATGAAGGTATTTGACCTTGGAGTATGGGTGGGGGGGCAGAGTGAGGTGGCCTTACAAAGGCCCTTGTTTGTTCAGGACCCTTGGGCAGTGGTTGAGACTGGATTAGAGATTGGCTGACCCTTAGGGCACTGACGGGGGTTTGGCAGGAGGCACTGACAGGAGGAGAGAGCCAGAGTTTGTCTCAGTCCTTCAGCCCTCACGTCTTGGAACTCACCACTTAATTCTCCCCATGACCCAAGCTTAACTGTGTTGGGGGGTAGGAGGGAGATACTAAACTCTCACATCATTGTCATAATAGATTTCACCCCACAAAGAATGGAAGAGGGCAGGACATGGCTCCACTGAATGGTTCCAACCTTAGCAAGCATTCAGTGTTAAGCCAAGCGCTGAGCTGATCCTTCCACTTGAGTGCACTCAGCTTTTCTGTCGGTTCCCAGCAGAGACTGATGTCCCCATCAGGAGTTTTTGATGTCCTTTGTTTCTAAAGGAGTGAAACCTAAGCCTTGCTGAAAAGCTGAGGGGTCCATGGGAAGTGATTTTCATGACCTGGATGTGTCATGGTGGCCTTTGAATTGGAGGCAGTCTAGTAGAACCAAATGGGGACGGGCTAAGGAAAAGACCTGGATTCAAATTCAAGCTGTGCAGCTTATGGGCTGTGTGACCTTGAGTAAGTCTTTTAGCTGCAGGCTAGGGAGTTTGAGATTTATTCTCTTAAACTAACCAACAAAGGTGCCTTTCCCAGGTCCCTTTGGGACTTAGGCAGTGCTAGCTCTCAGCCTTGGGTGGCCTCAGCTCCCCCTGTCCCAAATACTGCATCTGACTCTTGCTGTGACCCACACCCCAGCCCAGTAAGTTCTGGCTCAGGTTTCCAAAGCCTGAGGTGGCTTTTGCTTCTTGCTCCCAACTGCACACCTGTCCCCTCCTGGCTCCCTCCCTGGCACAGATGGAGTTTTCCCTCAAGCACAGCTGGAGCAGTCCAAGGCCCTGGAGCTGCAGGGGGTGATAGCGGCAGAGGCTGGTGACCTCAGCACAGCCCTGGAGAGGTTTGGCCAAGCCATCAACCTGCTGCCTGAGAGGGCATCAGCCTACAACAACCGGGCCCAGGCCCGGCGACTCCAGGGAGACGTGGCAGGTGAGGAGGCCCTGGAACCTCTACAGAAGGGGCCCTGGAGTGCACAGACCAAAAGTGAAGTGGTTGTGGGGCTGGGGTATGGAGGTGGGGAGTCATTAAGCCCCCCTGGAATCTGATATATTATGGGCCCTGCTAATCTCTTGGGGCTATTGTGAAAGAATAGATTGCATGCCATTTATTTAACATTTAATGAGAAATCGACTATTGTAATAGTGGGCCAGGTGCTGAGAACACGAAGATAAACAATATAGCAACTGCTATGTGCCAGCCACGAGGCACTTTACATGTAAGCTGTACTAACTAATCTAATCCTCACAACACTGAAAGGTATGTAGTATTGTTAGCTCCATTTTACAGATGAAGAAACTGAAGTATGGAGGTTAGGCAGCTTGCTGCTCTCATACAGCTGAGAAGTGGCAGAGCTGGGACTCGAACCAGGTGTTAGGGCTCCAGAGTGATACTGCTTCTCAAGAAGCTCACAGTCTAGACACATGATTGTGATACCACCGTCACAGGCTGAGAGGGGTCTGCTCCTGATGGATGAGTTTTGAAGGGTAAGTAGAAGTTAGCTGGATGGAGGGGAGGAAGTGGAGAAGGCACTGCCTGGAGAGCTCCAGGAGGCATGAAAGATACAGGGAACTTCAGAGCTCCAAGCTGGCTGGAACAGGGTATGGTGGAAGGATGGGGCAGGGCCAGGGAGTAAACGGGAATCACAAAGGGGTTTTAACTGGGGAGTAACTGGATCAAACCGGTGGCATTCAGGTAACTCTAGCTGGAGTGGGGACAGTGGGACAAAGGGGGCTGTGCTAGGAACCAGAGAGCAGGCCAGTCAGTGGTGTAAGCCACAGAAGTCTGTAGACTGTTAGGACTCTTGGTGGTGGACGCTGCTCCTGGGACCAGTAATGCCAGGCTGGGTACAGTGGAGAACCTCAAGGGCCGCTTGTCCAGGCTTGTCTGTGCCCTGGCCGGGGCAGGGCAGGGCTGGAAAGGTCGCTGGACCGCCTACAGACCAAAACCCCAAAGGATCAGAGGCAATTCACCTGCAGGTTTTCAATTCCTCCAGACCAGCTCCTCGGAGGGAAACCAAGAAGTGCTGTCATCAGAGAGCTTCTCAAAGGCCCAGGGCCAGGCTCAGGGGGGAGTAGGGCCCCTGCTGGGTTCCAGGGGTGGAACCTGAGACACAAGGTAGCTCAGCCTTGCTTAGGGTGATGAGCTCCCCAACCGCGCTGGCAGGCTCCTTAGACTATAGAGAACAAGAGCGAACTCAAAGAACCAGAAGAAAAGCGGCTCAGGGACCTACAGTAGACAGCAGGCTCCCGGAGGCTGAGTTCAGACGCCCGACCCCAGTGTTCCGAGGGGGAAACGGGGCGGGCCAGCTCTGGCTCCAAGACCCCTTCCAGGAAAACCAGGTACAAAATAATGAAAAACACGGAAATAAAGAATGCAGAAAGGCGGGCAGTGAAGAAAACAGGTGAGAGCAGCTGTTTAAGAAGCGCAGTGGCGCCCTGGCCGGCGCAGCTCGGGGGGCGGAC